TCGCATATTATTCTCTGGCTGGTCAGCCGTTCATTCTGCTGATGTCGATTATGTAGATACCAATGAATTGGATACAAAATTAAATTATTCCGGTTGTGGAATTCATTTAAAAATATATATATACAAAATATTGACTGCTATCGATTCTCTAGACACCTCTAGGTATTCGATAAGCCAATCTAATGTTTTTCCTTAGAGGATTTCAAAAATAATTTTTTTTTTTTATTTTTCTCTAATAATAATGCAAATTTAACTTACTATAATAACCAGTAAATGTTTCCTGCGTTGTACTTATTAACATCTCTTCTTTAGGTACTTTCTCTGTGAAAATATCGTTGGGATTTGTACAGTGTCGAAATAAATCACCGCCAGTACAATTTATCGGCACATCGACACATTCAATTACATTGAATTTAATAGACGATGGCATTTCAGTAGTATTAAGTCGAAAGGTTATATTTATACTTTACACGTTTAGGATATTTGAAAAGCTCATTCATTTATTATTAAAACGTAAGTATTATTGTATCTACATTACAGCTGTTACCTAAATTACAGACTAGTTATTGCTCGCGGCTTTGCATACATCGTGTTTCCTTTTTTAAGCTGATATTTTCAAAAATTCTATCTTAGCAGATATTTACTTTATAAAATAAACCTATATTTTAAATCTTAGCTTTCTGGACTCCACATTGATAGTTAGTCAAGACAAACTATTTTATAAGTACAGATAAATAATAATTTGCACAAATAAATGCATAAATATGTTATTAAAATTTGTCCAATTCACATATGGTAAGTGTAAGTTATTTTTTTTTATTAGTATAGATTGCAATATGAATGAGTACTTACATGATTACGTTTACATGAGTTATCAAGTAAACGAGATTTACTCATTTTTATGGCCTGCATAAACAATGAGCCTTTTCGGCCAACTCCACTTGTCTTTATCAAAGTTCCGTTACTGATAAGTAAGGGTAGAACTTATTTTGCTCCTGTCCAAACTTTCCTTTTCTGTAAGTCACTTGTACAATTTACGTATGCATTGTTATTACAGTAACATTTATTTTACGTGTTTTATTATGGCAAACAAAAATATACACCAAAAACTGTCTTGACTAACTTAAAAGCCTAGGCACACGTGGCAAATAAAAATGTGGGAAATCTTATTTGAGAACAAAATGTCTCTCTTCTATCCACTGCAATTCCTAGAAGCCTTATACTGTGTTACAACATCTAAAATGTCCGTAACATATAATGCGTTGACAATAAATCGCTAGCCCGTATTGAGCGCTCGGAAGTAGGAAATGACACGGCCCAAATGACGGAAACAAGTTTTGGCTTATTTGTGCTCACTCCGGATGCATACTCTTTATGTATTTCCTCAATGAACTTACATTTATTTATCCACTAACTTGAAATATGTTTTATCGACTCACACTCTATAAATGAGTGATAAACTTTATAGTAAATAAACTACATATATTTTTACCTTTGGAATTACTATATTGACTGGTAGGTCAGATACAGTTTTATTGACCACCAATGTCCTATGAAACTATGGAGCTACATATGCGTATTTTTATTTACTAATGTGATAATAACGACTCACTAAATACAATAAAATAACTGTCCTTGATATGCATAATAACAATGAAACAATGGAACAATCTTATAAAACTAATCTTACTAACTAGCTTTAGAAGATTATTAATGAAACTGATAAAGTCAAGATAAAGTAGGATAAATAAAAAAATATTTAAGGAAAAATCTTTAATTGTATGTTTCGATAATGAATACTGTACACAGATATTAAAACGGAATATCAATCTGTACAGAATATCAGACTTGTGAAATTTCATTGTAATTAAATACATTAAAATATCTAGTCCTAGTAATTTTAAAACAAATTACATTTTAGGAAGGACGAACATCTTTTACCGTAAAACTAAAACGTGACTGAGAATCTTCAATCATATTTTGGGCAGTTTCATCATAACATTATCGTAGATTCTTTTGAGTTTATCCACATCATCGTTGAAGCGGTTCATCATACATTCCACGTTATCGATAAATTTATCAGTCACGCGATCCTCTTGAGCGTTAGCCATCTCAACGGCTTTGAGAAGGCTAAAAAATTTAAAATTTTCCACATCGCTGCTTTTATTTTCAGCTATCTTTTCTTCAAATTTCTTTTTAAATATTGGTTTATTTACATTACTAAAAATTTCTTTGCAGCGTAAGTCTAGGATAGCTATATTTTCGTGATAATCATTTATGATTTTAGATAATTTCTTTCTTTCAAAAATTATACTCACAGATTTATCTTCTGATTCTATGTTAGAAGACATTATAGGTAAAAATATCACATTACGTAATAAAATGTCTAATTATAATTTGACTTCCCCGATGTGTAACATCATTGTTATTCGAAATATATCATTAAAAATGTACTTAAAGTGTTATTATAATAAAACTGATTCATCCAACTACAACATAATTAAATATTAAATTTGACAGTTCATAATATTTATCATTTAAAAACTAAACATTTAAAAAAACTAAATATATATTTACTCATCTATATATCTATACTACCATAGATAAAGGATAGTACGTGCGGTTATGCTACCTACTGGGGTATAAAAAGTAGAACAGGTGCTTTCTATGCTTAATCTATATGTATAATTTTATATTGTTTTAAATTATAATATCTGTGTATCGTATGAATTTCATCTGTTTGACCTTTCCAGAAAAAAAAACAAACATTAATAACAAACCAACAACAAACATTGAAAACATGATTACGGTTATCTTATAGATTATATGATAGACGAATATATTAATAAAAAAAATAGACTGATTATATTTTTTTTAATAATTATTTTTATTGAATTAATTATATATATAACATTTTAATTTTATAATGAGTAGGTATACTGATTGTCACATTAAATTTGGTATCGATATTTTTGACGTAATTACATTAAAATTTAATGTCCAGCATTGGTGGCTGCGCACTCCTCTTTCTTGGTGGGCCAGAACACTTTTATCGAACTTTGGACAGACCTCGTATATGATAGACGAATATATTAATAAAAAAAATAGACTGATTATATTTTTTTTAATAATTATTTTTATTGAATTAATTATATATATAACATTTTAACAATGGCTACTGATCATGGTATCGATATTTTTGACGTAATTACTGGCGTGCACAGGCGTTTCTATAATATAGTGGATCAGGGGCTGGTCTGCTCGAGAATGCTGTGATTTGTTGTAAACTTAAATTTGAAAGAAGCAACAGCTGTGTTTCTTGGTCGTTCTTCGCTACGCGGTAGATTTAAAAAAAAACACTATCCAAAATTATTAATTACGGGTTGTCTAGTTAGATAACCAAGTGGAACATGGCTGAGAGCATATATTAAGGATAATACCTGCATACAATGGAGAGGTAGGTATAGTAAAAAGGATTTACTCTGTTGAGAATAGCTTCACCTGATGAGCGCACGACCGCCAGTTTATTCAGTTATCCTACGTAAAAATTGACTGTGAAAAAACTGTAATATAGGATTTTACAGAGTATATACCATTTTTATAATATATTATTGTCACAATATGAAAAAAAAAAACTATTATTCATACAGTAATTTCACTAAAGGTACATAGAGTAACATTTGATGGAAAGCGGGAGTGGGGAGGTAGCGAACTGCTATACACACCTACAAAGGTTTTTTTTATTATTCTTAAAGGCACCTTCTTTAAGTATATCAGCCCTATCCTACACCTAGATTAACGCATGCTTGATGATGATGATGATGATGGTATCAGCCATTAACTGTCCACACCTAAACTTAGGTATTATATTATCTGTGACTTCGGTCTCCCCTTAGAAATGTTGATAATAGTTGCCACACTTGGCAGGCAGGTTGACAACCGCAGGCTTTGGAGAAGTTTTAATAGGCACCCTGCTGCCCATTCCTTGACCACTAAATTTCCTTAGTCCCTACTTACGACACCGACGAGAAAGCAAGGAGTGGCCTATTCTACACCGAGACCACACAGCTATCGTATGCATAATTACTTTTAAATTGTAAAACGGTTAGTTGTATTTTATTATTTTACTACATTATTAGATATTTTTGATCATCGATTTTTATTAAATATTACATTTATTAATTATTATATGAATAATGTAGGAATTTACATTTTATTCCAGATATCGTTTTTGATTAATTGAAATTTGCTTACAAAATTTTAATATTTATGATTTTTTACAAAAAAAGATGGCTATTGTCAATATTTTAAAATTTTGAATAAATATTGCATGTTTCCCTATTAAAATAAATTAATAAATTTTATGCAAATTTCGTCAAGTTGGTGTCACGTTTATATTCAGTCAACTTTAATAACAGAAGATTAAAATTAAACCTAACCACTTTTGTTTAATCTCCTATTAAAGAAAGAAAATTAACATTTCCAAAGCTGGCATTTGAAAAAAAAACTATCGAATCCTTTAAACTATGCTTCAATGAATTAGGTATATTAATATACTGAACTTTACTCGAATATCGCAAAGACATATAGTCTTATATATAGCCAAATATTTAAACTAACAATAAATTTGAGATCTGAACAAATATCACTACACGTGAAATCAATAGCCTCCTTTTTCAGCAGTCGAGCAAAAACATTATGAGCATTCACTCACTGCGAAATTCTACTTTCAGCGCCATCTCTCATTTTTATGTAGGTACAATAATCACACTCCTATGTAAGTAAAGCATTCTCACAACATTAATTTTTTAAAGGAAAATTTGACTAAATAGATGGCGTTTGTAATCCTAAGAAACAGACGCACCAATATCGTATCTAACGTTTTCCACATTATCTAAGATACGTTCAATATTCATTATTATTTGTTTCATTACTTATTAAATTAATAAAACCTACTAAAGATGGTAAGAAAATTCGTTTTAAGAAAAAAATTGTTGATCTAAAAAATATATAATTTTATTATATACACGTGAGAATTCATTATGACATCACAATATTTCAAAGTTTTACTATCGATTATTTATAACAAACAATATTTACAAACAAAACAAGTTGGCACTAAAATATTATAAAATATCACATGATACTATGACGATACCTAGATTTATTCATAAAATCTTTACATATAGATACTTGACAAAATACAAGTAGACAAACAATTTTCTTTGCATTACGCAAGGCATAATGCAAAATTATCCTTTCGTGGATTTTGCTGTACAAACCTAAGATTATAACATATATTTTCTTCCTGAGTGGAAAAACCTACATTAAAAATTTGCAATACGAAAATACACTAAATCTCTATATATACGAATTTGTACAATAAAAATTTACCTGCTTTCTGAAATCTAATTTACATAAATAATTTATTTTTAATTGAATAATAAATTTATATTACTACATAGTTATTTATATATAGGAGTAAGACAAGGTGAAAAAAAAATTGTTAACATCTACCAGTAAAACTGAACATTTTCCCCAAAGAAATAAGGAGCGACAATTGACGAATAACTTAAGAATCTGACTCGCTACACTAATAAATGAAGACGCCGTGTATGGAAATTTGGAAGTTTGTAAACTTTTTATCTTATTCAACCCATATTTCTTTGGAAAGAACGTTCAGTTTCACTGATTTCTATCAATAAATCTGATCAATTTTTACACTCCCTTAAAAAGATTCTAATAAATGTAATTTCTATAAGTACATTCGTACATACTAATAACATGAATGATAAACAGTCATTTCTTTGCTATGAATATCTACATCGGAATCAATTGTACTAGTTATTACTATTGTTCCCCTTATGGAGGTGGACTACATTCAGTAGTGGACAGTCAACGACTCATGTGAATGAATGAATACTCGCTGTTAATCATGACCATCTTATAATTGTGTTTGTTATAATTGAGCACAAAAATTTTATAGCATATTTTGTTCACTACTTCAATCAACACAAATACACGATAACTATAACGCAGGTTAATATTTAACATGTATGAGATTTACCTTTAAAATTCTCCATTTAAATATTAATATCTAGTTTTAATCAAGTTAATCTGGTCAATATCAAATATGTATACCTACTGTATAAATATGTATAATACGTCGCAAATTTTCTTTGATGCAATACCATTTGTCGCGTAAACACGTTACGCAAAATATTTTATTTACATAATAAACATTCAACATACCTTCATACCAAAATAATATCATTATAAATCTTAGAAAATGATATAAATATGTACTAGATAATTTATTAATTAAAATTTGAACCCAATTTCCTCTATACCCAGTTATCAAAATTACCAACAATTCATTTAATCGCCTTCAACCTCCTCCAAACCATTAATAGGTATGAGCCTTTCTATTTCAATTTCCATAGCCTTTAAAATAACGCGATCTTATTTGCTCCTTATAAATGACCATATGGCACTAAATGGAACGTCAAATGTGAAAAGTCTTAATAATTAAATTTTTCCTAGCACATTGTATTGTCAGGCTGTACAAAATTCTGAAAATATGATGTTGGTAATTTTGGAACTAATGTACAATAATAAAAAGAACATATTTTCTTGTGGGTAATATACAAACCCAAAAAATTAATTAACCGATTTTAATCTTTCTCTTGTCTATAGAAATTACATTATCTTATTATATTAGCGAGAAGCATGGACTATATTTTATTTAAAAAAAAAAAGAGACTGAGATGGGTCGCTAGTAATAAACATAAATAAATAAAATGACGAGACAAATAGTCACCAGATCCAAGATGAATAAAGACATACCTTCTGAAAATTGTGCCATTTTTTTAAGTTGAGCCGCTTTTTTCTATGCATTTCTAGAGACACTATATCTAGATGTTTATGATTAAATTATATCTCTTGACATCAATACTTGAAAGTACTTGAGACACTAATCTAATGATCTTCACATTCACGAGAATTGCGAAATTAAGAGTCAAGTGAAATACTCAATCGATAAAAATAAACATACTCTTTTCATTTATCTAATCACAAAGGAGTGACTTCAAAGCGATATCTAACAGTTAGTTGATCTCTGAGAAGCTTTGAATCCTGCGTTCGAGGCTACTATTAAAATCCGTCAATACTGCCAACCCTTCGACGATCAGTCTGTGGTACTAAATAACCATCAGCATCTCTGCCTGCCGCTACCATGGCTGCGAAACCAGCTGTCCTGCCCAGTTCTGTTGTAGCATGTCCTTTTTCCTGAAGAGACCTTATGATTGACTGGAAACAAATTACGAAATATAAAGTTGCAGTTGGTATACTAGATAAATTTCGTATCGTAAAACCTTAGAAATTTTGAAATTTGTACATCCAGTTTGACCAAACTTTGATAAAAATAAAATCTACCTAATATAGGCCGATATATTTACCTGACTGAAGTCGTATTCGTGTTCTATCTCCATAGGCATAAGCTGATGATGTAGTCGCGGACGCTGCATAGTTTCTGGTAAATCGCGTCCTTCTAGAATAGTATTCCTTACCGCCTGAAACAAAATTAATGTTTAGTTTCCTAACTTAAGGAATAAGAGAATGGTGTAATTGTACGACTTTTATTATATATATTACATAATTATTAATATATTTGGCACTTTGACTTATTTTTTACAGATTTTAATAGTTATAATGATATCTCTAGCGTCTATTTTTAAGATTATTATAAACTTAGTTACCAGAGCTACTTGTGTAGTGATCTTCGTTCCTCCTGCAGCCCCTATAACCAACTGGACAGTTTTATTTCTAAGCACTATGCTGGGCACCATAGAACTGAGAGGTTGCAGTCCAGGCTCCACCATATTGGCCGGTGAAGGAGGCAGGCCATAACTTGACTCTCGATTAGGGATCGCAAAGTCATCCATCTCGTTGTTCAACATTATACCCAATTTGGAAGACCTTCTTTGACAGCCCCAACTAAAAACAAAATATTATCAAATAATAATAATTTTAGAGATCGAAAAAGGGAATTATTTTTATGTCTTATATTATCTAGAAAAACTTTTTATCTCGACTGTACGATGTGTATTTGTATATAACGAATTCGTGAAAAATTTAGTAACGATTTGGCTCGGTTTCCCACGAGAAAATAGAATTTTTGAAAATGATATATACCCTACGCTACTCACTGATATTACAGTTTTCTATAGAGGAAAGAATTTTTAAAATCAGTTGAATAGTTTTCGAGTTTATCTATTCAAACAAATAACATTAGAAAAGAAACTAAAAAACAAACATTACAAAATTAATAAAATGACAATAAAACTCAATGCTACAAACATAAAATAAAAAAAGCCAAGACTCGAAACAAGTTTTAATAGGATCTCATGTCTTTTTATAAGTCATCCTCCTTTTTCTTTAAAGGAAACGAACGAACGAAATGTCGAGATAACCCTAGTAAATCATCATAGTTTAGCGCGCTTAATTTCTGTCTTTTACAAACCACAAATTAAACGTTATTATAACCTATGAATATACAATAATATGTATTATTTATTTCAACTTTATTGTACACAGTGATAATTCATAAAAATATGACAGAGGTGAGTAAATGTACAAAGGCGAGCTTAACTCTAAAAAAGTTCTCATCCATCAAACCCAATGTAGAAAGGAACATCAATGTCAGCGAGTAAAACGGTTTACAATAATGTGACAATTTTCAAACAAAACACACATAGGTAATTATATTATATTTACATGTAATTTATAGTGCTAGTAGCTGAAACAGCGCTGCCATCTGGTGCTATCACCACAATCTGTGCAGTGCCGTGGTCGTCAGCCCCAGCGAAGGTGGCGCCGTAGTGCTTCCAGTCGTTGAATGTTTTGTCATCGTCTACTAAGTCTCTGTAGGCGGCTGCCCATGACGGATTAGAAAGATTGCGTTCTAGCTGAAATATATATTCATATAATCAGCTCAGTCTACATGAAATTTGGTATAGACATGGTATTTGTGATAATGAAGAATTTAAGCTACTTTTATTCCGGGTATAGCATCATTAAAAATATAGTATATAGCTACCGTATCTTTCATGTAATAATGTTATATCTGTCTTAATAACAGTGTCATTCCCATAATAATTAAGACAAATATAATGTCATTTATTTAAATCTGTCAATCATATATATATATATATATATATATATCTACAACTAAAGTATATAACAAACATTCTTTGACATTCGGATAAAAGAAGAAGATAATACTGCAATAAATTTATAGGCGAATAAACTAGTTGTATTTATGTTAAGCATAGAAAAGGTTAATTTATCTCGAGTTTTCAACCTAGTACGTGAGATTATAGATGTTTGTCTGTACATACTTGAAGGTCGCATATCGAATAAAAACCTGAACTATGTATAATACCTATGTTCTGGAACATAGTTTTTAATTTTAATTACATATATAGATTTTAGAATAAAATCTTATAAGTGTTTTTTGAAGGCACCTATAGAATATACCTATATATATTGTGAATACAAATTCTACAACCAGTAAGTACTAAGTCATCTAAAATAGATTCACAAAGAAATCACTTGTTTAACAAAAGGAATATAAAAGGAATAAAATACATATAAAACATTAATAAGAATATAAAACATAACAAATGCTAGAAAATAAATCTAAACAGATTTCGGCTAAAAGAACAACATATAAATTTGTTCTCGAAGTAATGTAACGAAGGAATTCCCGTAAAACACTTGTTCTAACGCTTATTCTAACTTCATCGTTAGATGTAGTAGGTATACAAACTGAAAAGATTGCTCCATCAACAGACTTAAATCGAAATCATTAATATCCTTTTAGTTTTCCAGCAATAAAAAAACTGAGCATTTTTCTAAGTTTTTTAATAATTTTTCATCCATATTTCTTTGGAAAAAATGTTTTATTCCACCCGCAGAACATTACTTTAAAAGGGTGCTATTGACTTCAATTTCAACATACGTATTGAATAACCTTCAGATTTAAATTTCACCTGTGTATGATACTAACCTCGGCAATGTTGTAAGTGATATTATAGCGTGAAGGGTCGCCGAGACCTGTTCTTTTCGCGTACGCGTACTTGAATGTTTCGACGACGCGGTGCCAATACAGGTTGGAGCCGGGCGGCGCCTCTGTTCCATCTTCTACCCATCCGCGCAGCATATTCAGCATGAACGCCAGCACCGAGCCGGTCCCTGGCAGCGGGGCGGTGTAGAGAGTATGGTGGTCTGTTAAGGGTACCTCGATTGGTTTCTGCCACTCTACCCTATAATGAAGTTAAAATTTTCTATTTTTAAAATGATGAATTAAATATGTCAATCTCAATAATAATGAGAATTTACAGTAGATTAAGTGAACCATATATAATAGAGCATGTAGGTTATCTGATCGATTAAATAAAAAAGGCTCCATTTCTATAAAAATAAAATATGAAGTGAGACTGATAAACAATAAAACCTTATGTTACTTAAAACTGTATATTTTAACTGAGAAAAAATGTTTAAAAAATCATATATCAAAAAGAATATAAAGATACAAATACCTATATAAAAAATTCCGGCTGGCCGAGTTGTTAATTACATCAAATATATCATTTTAAAACTAAATTCGTCTGTGAGAATATACTAAAAATAAATACACCACAAATTGAAAAATAACTAAATAAAAACAAATTAACAGCAGTTGAAATACAAACGCTTCTAGGAATGTGTAAAGATGGTATTGATATAGTACGACAAGTCAATCGATATAAAATAAGTCATAGACTGTCGCCTGAATGACGAATTTAAAAGTCGATAAAATGCTGTATATACCTTACTGTAACACCCTTCGACTTCCTATTACTACGCATGGATCTCTTCATATTAGAGTAGGATTTTAAAGCCTGTATTACCATGCTACTCAAGTGATTTACAGGATATAAATTCGAGATTTTTTTCATTTACAATAGTATAACAGTATGACGCTTTATTCTTTTACTACTGTTTATGAATAAAAGGTTGTAAACATACTATATTCTTACTACATCATCTTTAAAGATATATTGTACTTGAAAATCTTCTTCCTACCCATATCCCAATTATTATATGCGGTCGGCGTAATATGGTTTTTATCAATATTACAAAACGATTTGGCTTAATTTTACGACCGGCTGCCTGTCTGACGTCAACCCTCTTTGGGAATATGTTGTACTGAGATTTTGAGATTGTTGAAAGTATTAAACAAAAATATCACTTAAGCCTGCCAACATACCTGTAGTTCCTGAGATCCTCTTCTGTCACGATTCCGCCATGGGCTTGGATATCTTGCACGAACAATGCGGTCAAAGTGCCGTTGTGTATCGCCTCCGGGCCCTCCTCTGATATGATATCGAGAGTTTTGGCCAGCGTTAAGAGGGGGACTATGTCTCCTTCTTTCCATACCTCTCCTGTTTCTGGGTTGACGTACACCTCTCTGAAAACATTAAGGAAAAAACAATATTAAATAACGGTAAGGTCATGTATTATAAGTACATAGGTATATATGTAAAACTAGAGAGAAACACAATGCATATTTGATAACAACAAACTCCTTAAGTGACCTGGTTTCCAGAACTACTTGAGAGAAAGGGTTCGTAATAAAAACTGTTATTAACATTAAGATTGTGTTCCACAGAAAAAACAGACTTCAATTGTGATAGCATCAGTTATTTTGATTTTTAAAAACTAAAATACTAAATCTAACTAGTCTGGCCATAAATACTGTTACATAAAAACTTTTTTTAACTTTTTAATTATTTTGAATTTGGAACACGTTTATTATTTTAAAAACTTTTTTCGATTTCACGCCATTTCACATATTTTTCGTGTTCATTATCAAATTACGATGTGGAATGGGGTGTTAAAGAAAATAGGATTGCAGTGATCGCCTTGCACAAAATAGGTATGGAGCCGTCGGTCATATTCTAGACACTTCAAAAGCTTGGTATCAGCTGTATGTTCATATATCTATCAACAGATACAACAATACTTCCGGTTAACAGCTGAAATAATAATAATAAAAAATAATATTGACATTTTTACCTCATAGACGGCTCGGCCTTGATCCTGTCGCTGTAAGTTCTGAGGACGCGGGCCATATACTCGTTGATGTGGTGGCCACGGCGACAAAGATCCGCCGTGGGGCGGACCAAATCTGCCCATGGCAGACGGCCGTATCGTCGATGGAGCTCTCCGTAACCTCTCAGCTCCCCTGGCACGGCTATAGCCAACCCTCCGACGGTTGATGATGCGTTCTCGAACATATCCCTGTGAGCGTTCATCGGGGCTCGCTCCCGCGCGTTCAACACTTGGACCTGCCCCGTCGTTGCGTCGTAAACCGTAGCCAAAAATCCTCCTCCGAGTCCCATACATTGCGCACAAGCGACACCCTCGCAAAATAGAGTTGCTATAGCCGCGTCTACGGCCGAACCGTTCTTTTCTAATATCTCCCTGGAATAATATAATTTAAAAAATTTTACTTTGCAATTGTGTTAATGGAATCCTTAGTATGATTTATCAGTCAAATCAATTTAAAAATCAAACTTTGTTAAATTTTCCTTGGATCTAAGTGTACGGCTTGTTGTTGTCGTTATTGTATGGTTTGGTCTGGATAATGCAGACATCTTGCTTCTCTAGCAATCGCCGTACTACAATATCTATCAATTCAACACATTGGTTATAAGAGGTATCATCATATAATTAGTTATCTAGCTACAGCTATTGTCCCGCTACTGTATGAAAACGTGAGAAAATAAGAATAGAAGAATTACTTGCGAAATTTGTACACTGCAAATAATCTGTGCTTTGATTTTAAGGGTGGGATATGGCAGTAAATTTACAGGATACAGAGAAATAACACCTTAATCCTCAGGAACGGCAACGCATGGGGGGGGGGGGGTATCATGAGCGAAACAGTATAAACTGTTATGGTCATGGTGCTGCTCGTGTCTATAGGCGACGGTTATCACTTACCATCAGGTGGGCTGTCAGTTTGTTTATTATTTTAAGTTATATAAAAAAAAGAAAAAATCTTTGGGAAAACGCTGGTGAGACTTAATCATCTTAATTTGATAGAGCGTGTACATGTTTATGAGGAAGAAGCCGAAGAATCCTATCCTACCTATCATGATGATATTATTATAAAAAAATGTAGATTGAAGAAATTGACACTAATTAACACACAATAACATTTTACATACACTTCTGTGCAAATAACAAACACTAGATACCTTATTTATTCTTATTGTTATCCTTACTAATAGAATAATTAAAACAATAAAAAGTGTTTATACTTTTCGACATTGTGGTACAATGCCTATAAACTGTCTCTGTGTTTAGAACATTTTTTTCAGTTGTTTTCTGAGCGTATAACATAGTTTTTTTGGAAAAATCAATAATCACGTAAATGAGTTGAAGATATACCTTCCAATAGAAGCACATTCGTAGCCATTGGCGGCGACGGTGGCGTGCGGGAAGCGCGGGTGGTCGTGGCCGGCCCAAGGCTGCAGCACCAATACGGCCACCAGCACGCCCGCGAGCAGCGCCACCAACACGCTGCCCACCAAACAAAACCGCCGCGACCTAAAAAGTTACCAAAGTACTAAGTGTAGGTGCATACATTAAAAATATATTATGAATTCATGCTTTGCAATTAGGTATTTCCAATTCTAAATAATTTTAAACTTGAATTAAATTAGATATGTATGTTAATTGTGTGATTTGTGACAATTTAGAATTTCATGTCACACAGTGACATACTTGAAATAAATTTTACATTGATTCCTACCAAATTAAATGACAATTTTAATTAAAAATAATAATTGAAAATACACAGAGGCCAGTCACTTCACACAATTTATTATAGTTATCCGACATCATAGATTAAGGATCTCTTGTTTCTGATTATTCTCTAATTATCTGTCCTGTCTACGTCAACCATTGTGTAAACATAAATAAACATGTTGTTTATTTCATGAAATGTAACAAAAAAAACAAAAGCAATTTAGATACGCGTTATGGATGGATAATTGAAACAACAAATAACAAAAACAATTTATTATTAATATTAATTGAAATAAATGTTGTACTCATGACTGTAAGACCTGATAAAGTAGTTTGAGGCCTTTGTCATCTGTTACCATTGTGGTGGACCTAACACTTGACATGTTCACATTTCGCCGAGCATATTAGAATCTAATTAAAAATAAGGAATTACAAAATCTTTAGAATCTAATATGACAGGGGCGAACCTAACATCGTCACTCGAATCAATTTACCTTGTTAACGGTGTTTACCACAATCTGAGAGAATTTGAATTGACACCCAGATCTGAACTCACACTCCCACAACAGATATAACAAAATTATGAATATTTTTAACGTTTGATTATGGAACCATTAAATTATAACATTTTTAGCCCTTCTTAATATATTGATTAACTAAATTGTTATCAAAAGACTTTAACACAGGATCTTCTACATTCAGTTATATTTTTTATACTTATATATACTTAATAATTTATAAAACAATTTGGAAAATAATTTATTTCTGATTTAAATAATATATATATATATATATATATATATATATACTATACTATACTATACTATACTATACTTTCAGACTGATTGAATTCTAGTATAGAATGGTTTAGCTTGATTTTTAAATAAAAATAACTACTTAATTCATAGTTTTAAAATATGTATAGTGAAGTCAATACTGATTCAGTTATATCAGTAAGCTCGTATTTTTTATAGAGCATATATATATATATATATATATATATATATATGGAGCTTTTTTATTGTATTTATTTAAATAGTAGTCTATATCGTACCTATAATAAATGTAATAGTTGTAAATTAAATATAAAATAAGATATATATCGTCTAGAAATACGAATATCTACATCAATACCGTATACAAAAAAAGGACTAATTAATATATGGTATCAATATTCATACGTATTATTTTAAATAAAAAAAAGAAAACTAGCTATATGTATCTATACTCGTTTAATGAGAAACTTTAAATACACAAAAAAAAAACCTTATCCGCTTTTTATTCATGTGTGTATGTTTTAAATTCTATCGATTGCAAAACAAAATACAAAAAAAGCAGACGAATTGATACTGCATTTTTTTGAGTCTCTTAGAAACAACAAATACAATAATTAAATAAATTGTTGAAAAATATTAACATATAAAATAAATTTTCTCTAAAACATCTTACAACTCTTTGTCGAAGCATTCGAAGGCATCGAACATTGCATTGCAAGTTACAAAATTTAATTCATAAATTGCCAAGCGTTAGTCGAAAGCAACAGTCAGTAATCGACACAATTATTCCTTACCTCAATATTATAATCATGTTCCGTAAATTCACGTCACTCCGCTCAGTAGGTAATTGTGGCATTTTGATGCACTAACCCTACAGACACATTTAGGTATTAGTGCCAACTACAAACCACTTGGATCCACTGACTGTTACTGTTTCGCATACGGTTTATAGGTCCAAACTTGTTTAACAATACGCCATGAAGCGTGTCAGTGGAACTAATATAGTTGGAGCAAGGTCGAATGGTCGCTGCCACAATCATTTAAACATGAACTCTTGAACTTAGAGATTTATGAATTGATAATGATTATAATTATATATAAAATACGCATATTTCCTAAAACAATTGCGAACGATTTATATAAATATGACCTTCGCTGAGAGTGATTCTTTATTAATAAATAATGGAAAATTTAAATTACTTCAAACAATGTTTTAAATTATATATTATATTGTATTTATTATTATTAATAAATATGTATATATATATATATATATATATATATATATATATATAGTACTAGTTGAACCCGGCCACGCTCCTTCAAGACTTAGTCTGATTTGTAATTTCCCGTTCCTGTGGGCCAAGAACCTTTGCGTAGGTATGCAGAATAACTCACCAAGGTATCATGACGAAAGAAAAAATAAACACATTGTATTTTTTCTTTTCTATGAATATAGATTTCTTTTTTCTCATGTTTAAGTAGAATATGGCCATGTTTATATCCCTTATGTGTTTAAATTTTAAATATCTGTCACTTTAAAAAAAATATTTAAATGTTCAATGTTTCTGATGCCTGCACATCTACTAGTAAACTGAAATATTACTCATGCAATAATATTTTCATTAAGCTGTATCTAAAAATTGGGATTTTGATGTTGATGATATCAAAAATTTTGAAGCAAAATATGAAGTAGTCACAGTTATTAGTGATACATTTACGAGTATATGCAGTGAAAACAGAGCACTTAAAATAATAAATCAAAAATATTGAAAAATATTTGAAAAATTACGGCGTTATTATACTTCGGTGAGCATACGCTCTTAAATCTTACCGGTTACATTCATACTATATTTTTAATATTCAAACATCAAAAAATGTCTGTAAATATATTTTTCTTATTTTATGGACTGAATAACTTAGAAGACTTTAGAATTTTTATATAGCTTCCATGCTGTATGGTTAAATATCATATTATAAACCTTGAGCGAAACCGGGATAAACTGATAGTGATTATATAAATAAAAGACGTAAGTACCTATATTTCCTGAAACTATTGTGTATGGATGACCTTCACTGAGGCTTTGTAAATAAATATGGAAAATTTGTATCCATAAACAATAGATCAAGTTTTCATCCTTCGCAACATTGCTGAGTTGAATCGGATTGTAAGCCCAAGAGTTTCCTATACTTTTGTGTAGTTGGAGAAAACATTTGACATAGTTGTAAGGAAACAACTTCAGGTTACGCTTCCAGAATACGGAATCAGTTTAGTATCGCTGAATGCCTTACAGGCCTGTACTTACATTAACATCAAATATAAATCATATGTGGGTACATACATCTAGCCATAAATTATTTTATAGTTCTCCTAACATTACTCTACATGGTAGCTAATATTAAATAAGTATACTAGATTTTACCTAGGACATCGCCCGCGTAACCGGAACTTGTTGGGAGAGAAAGGTATTGTTAGCAATGGGGTCTAACAGCCCTATTGCTAACAATACACCCTGTCAAGTCAACTTCCAAAGTCCTCCTGGAAACCATTGTGGTAAAAATAGTTACAATTATGATAAAGACTTTTAGATCACAAAAAAAGGCAATAATAATTATCACCCGTATTCCGTAATGGCATGCAGGGATTTATTACAAAAATATCACATATTTTCCTTATGAGTTATACATTTTATAAAAAATCTATCTAGATATAAAACGATACGAAAAAGAGAATTGCGTACATATTCTAGACGATATTACGAGCGACATACAATCAAGACTAAATATACTCGTAGTTAAACATAGAACACAATTCCAAATAAGAAAGTTGTATAACAGAATACAAATTGATTTAAAAAGTGTCAAAAATCTAAGAATTTTAAAAATCTAACTATCATTTAAAAATCGAAACATCCAACTAAATTTTAAAACAAACCGTTGGAAAAATGCGTCTACTCAATAAACGAATTTTTATAATAAAATAAATTATCAACTACATACTCAATTATTATTGCAATTGATATTTACATATATAAATTCAGACTGATTGTAATTGTGCCTTATTCGTGTATAATTGTTATATTTGTAATTTGTATTAAATCTATCATTACCAAATTTAACACAATGTGATATCGTTTATGAGTAAATAAAATAAATTAAATTCATTTTTGTCTTCATTACGATGAGCTAAATGACCTTTTTTATCGTCACCTACGAATATCATCCTTCACTAGTACCCCGCCAGTGTATAACGATAGCACAGGGTTGCTATTCTTTTATAACCCATAAAAAAAACAGGAATTGTTGATCAAACCAGGTAACAAATGAACTTACTTTCACACAGTAGCATGACAAAAGAATGGAAGAGCAGGAGATACTATGGACCATCGAGGTATTTTGCCTGCTGGGGCCCGTGTTTCGAGTAGCCCTAAGCACAGGAAATATGTACTTATCTAAAATTTATTGCACAATTTTGTAAAAAAAATTGTATTTCGTCAATTTAAAAATTAAAGGATTTACTCAAGAACATATACCAATTATACGTATAAATAGATCATAAAGATCTATACAAGGATTTATTTTAAACTAAAACAAAGAATAAACACAGTAATTGCAATAGTATTGATAAATATGCATATATACTTAATGATATATAATATAAAAATCAATATAAAACATTGAGCTTTTTTTAATAAATAAAGGGCCCCCATTCGATGAATTTACCACGGGCCTCATATGGTATAATTACGCCATTGCTTTTACATTTTTTTATACCACGAAGGTGGCAAACAAGCATACAGCCCGTCTGATGGTAAGCGGTCACTGTAACTTATGAACGCCTGGTAACAATAGGGGTGTCACATGCGCGTTGAAAACCCTGTAGAACCTTCAATAACCTCCGACTTAAATTTCCCACTTATTCTTCTTCCTTTTATTCTAAATCCTTTACTGTTCAGGCACTTCGTGTATGGAACTCACTACCTGCCTCTATTCGGTGCGCTCAAACTCTAACTAGCTTTAAAACCTTACTACCTTGTTAAATCTTACTACCTCTCACTTTAGTACTATTTTCCTGTCTTCTCTTTTCGTTTTCCTTCGTCATTTTTTTTTCTGTTGTATGTGTGCTATTAAGTATGTGTATCTTATGTATATATTTAATTGTGTATATATTATATATGTATGTGTATGTATGTATGTATGTGTGTATCTATATATGTTTGTATATGATAATATTTATATAATAGTGCGCCACCTACCCTTTGTCTTTTTCTCAATGTCCTCTACCCAAAGGTTGTCTGGAAGAGATTGCTTAGCGATAAGACCGCCTTTTGTATCACTTCTAATTAATATTTACTGTATTTGTTATCTCTCTTTTTACTTGGTGCAATTAAGTGTAAATAAATAAATAAATAAACCTTAATATACCCTTTTTGAAGAACTTTTTACTGTACATTTATAATTTTAGTAAAGATTTCAGGTATTTTAAGTTGTTTTGACTTATTATACACTAAAATTTACTAGATCTATTATGCTCAACCTTTCCTTTAGTTCGCTGCTAATTCTTAAATTGGCTAAGTAACTTATAATACTATTCCATTTGACTCTTGTTATTATTAATTTCTTATTGACTTTATCGATTCTCAGCCACAAACCTTCATAAAACATAACTACTCTGCAAAACAACCGGTAATTTACATTTTTTATTATACCAATAAGTACTTATTGCATATTATTTGTAAACATATGTATATGACAAAAATTAATTCTATACACATGACGACACTGACGAAACACGTCATTTTATTATTTATGTTATAAATTTCTTTACCGCAAGTATTAGACTTAATCTATGTTCTTTATAAAACATTTATCTCGATTCCTGAAGTTATATTATTATTTTTCTTTTCATATATGGAAATAATGTATGTAAATACCTCTTTAATTATCATCAAATAATACTAATACCACAATAAAAGTTATACTTTAGTAAGGTAAATATATAATCTAAAGCAGTAGTATTAAACGAATAATTATTTTATCTAAAGACATCTGTGATATCTACAGTTTTCAAAGATTTTATTAAACATTTTAAATAGTGAATTAGAATTAAATTATTACTTTTACCATTTTTAAGAATAAAATTTAACAACTTATTAGACTTACACTGGTCAGATGCTAAGGATCTTTATTGTACATGTGAATGAATAAGTAAGATGGCAAGCATAACAATGTAATTGTAATCAATATTAAAAAAAAATTATACAACTTAGAATAGCAAACAAGCTGACGGCCCACCTGATGGAAAGTGGTAACCATCGCCTATAGACCTGAGCAGTACCATGGACACAACAGAGTATACTGTTTCACCCATGATACCCCCCATGCGTTGCCATTTCTGAGGACTCAGGTGTTATTCCTCTGTACCCTGTAAATTCACGCCATATCTCACCCTTCAAACCGAAACACAGCCATGTACGGTACACAACTGCTTTACGGTTGAAACACAAATGGGACAGAGGTACCCAAGCAAACGACTTTAAAATAGATGACATTTGTGTACTACATTTACTGAATTTGTTTTTTTTTTTTTTTTAATTTAAATTTATTTCCAAATTTTACTTTTTTTTAATAGTTATACGGGTATTATTCTCAAATGATGTGTTGTTCATTTCTGCATACTTTAGTGGCTGTTAAATTACTATTTATGTGTGTAATTACGTATTGTTATAGCTGTCTGTTTGCCTTAAATAAATAAATAAATACAATTATCTGAAATAATTATTCCTCGTTACGTTAATAAATAAGTATGATAAAAGCGATAAAATACTAGAAGATAGGTACAGATTACCTACGACTATTATAATGAATGTTATTGTACATATCCTTTCCACCTATCTAATTACATTCATATAACTCGATATTGAAAATCTTACGCGATTGTTACATAAGTGTGTATGTGTGTGTATGCTGATTGTAGTAATTTCATTATAGTAGCTATTGTACTTCTATATCATAAGGATATAATAAAATGTATTGTTAAATAAATCGACATTACACATAGTTTATGGCAGGGGTAGCCAACCGATCGATCGCGACTATTAGTTCAGTCGATCGTGGCAATCCGCAAATGCAATGCTCACACTAATATAAATAATTTTTAATTTTATGTTTTCCTTCTTAATAGAATAAAAAATTCTACAATGCAATATAATTGTGTACAGAACTATGTTGTTTCATTTGAAACTTCAAGAAGAATGTAATTGATAGATCGCACTCGGTTTCGTCAGTAAACAGTAGATCTTGGATCTAGTGAAGTCGTCCACCCCTGGTTTATGGTATATATATTTATAAACTATGTATGCATAAGATACCATGTATTAGAATTTTTTACTTGTTTCTATATATTTTAATTGGCTTTGCAGCTAATTTTTTACTAAATTTTACCTGTACAATGTGTGTTACAATGTCAAGCGCCCCGTGACTGAATAACTTTCAAACGTAATAATAAATTTTCATATAGATAACAATATTCCTTACAAATATTACAAATGTGAAAGTGAGTCTGTTTGTTTATTACTTCTTGGCGCTTAAATAGCTCAAATAATAATTATGAAATTTAACATAGGTATAAATAAATATTTGGAATGGAGAAGGGCATAGGCTATTTATTATTCCAGCCATGCGGGCGAAGTCGCGGTCACAACTTATATAATAGTGTAGGAAATTTTATTCTAAACTATAATAAAATCACTTAAATATCCACTTATAAAACTCAAAATTCACGAACCATCGTTAGTTGATTAATTTCAAAAGTGCCAAACCAGAAATAAAAGGCTTACTTATAATGATTTCGCAAGCAAGCGTTTGAGGTAAGTGTTGTAACAGCATTCAATCTAAATTTCGCTAAAATTTGCTGCCTAATAAATGCTCGATATACCTAATACCTTTGTAATGGAGGAAAAGGGTTTGAGGTCGACCACCACGTGGTTCCCCCTGGAAATCCGGTTGAACTAAATTAATTCATCACAATGGGCTAACTAATCTGTTTTCATCCTCACCCATCACCCTTCACTGGTGCCCTGTCAGCGTACACGGATAGCGCAGGTGGGGTTTTTATTCAATTTTCACCCATTAAAAATATACCGCTGTAATTAAAAAATATCTATGTCTTCATTTAAATGTAAAGTATACTAAATATTATAAAAATTTACTGACCATTCGCTTATAACTTAATTATATAACTAATATATTTAATACAAACTAATATTATTTTTTTTATTTGTTTACGTGCATAAAGATTTGTGAAATATTAATATTGCTTTACAGTAACTGAAATTTTATAAAATAATTGTTTATTGCAAGGTATACATATAGGTGGCTATATGTATACCTAAAGTAAACCTAGATAGATTGTAATTTAAAAAACGTAAATACAGAACTTGCGTAATTTTATACTTAAAACTAATTATGTACTAATTTTTAACACAGATTAAAATATTTATACGGCATATATATTTTAGTTTCACAATAATTGTAATAACTCAATACATATTATGTACGTTGCATAAAATATAATAATAAAATTTTAAAGCGCGGAATAGCTTACCTGATCATTTTATAACGTTGAACACGTCAACTGTTACGTGATACAAAACACAGACTGCGCGTTGCGGCCGATCGTCAAACATTTTCATTAGATCACTCGCCAATGTGGACTTTAATTCGCATTTCTTTGAATGTGAATTAAAGAGAATGAAATGTCATTATTAAAATCGCGGATTATTAGTTCAATATCATTATCATATGTATAAAGTTTGATTATTAAAGATCACTAGACTATATATCGATAAATACCAGATAAAATTCTTAGTCATTTGTGTTATCAGCAAAAAACCTACTGTTTCGTAATAATCAACATAGGTACATCGACACTTATGCAAAATACAAGAGATCGATCATAATTAGACAAGATAGAAAAAATCTGCTGTTAAATCTTGCAAACGCACGTATTTGATATTTTTTTATATATATATTTATTTTATTAGGCAACAAGATCATCAAAGTCTTATATTGTTTGACCCATAGTAGCCTCACAGGTATAGATACTATTCTTAATCTTTAAATCTTCGAAAAAAATATTCCATTTCACTAATAGAACACACCGGGGAGAAAGAGATTGTTAGCAATGGAGACTGAGAATCCTATTGCTAGCAATATACCTAACCAGAGCGACCTCCTCGCGGTTCTCCCTGGAAACTATCATGGTTAATTCCTGATGAATTCATCATTATGGGCTAACTGGCCTGTTTTCATTCTCATCGATCACCCTTCACTGGTGCTCCGCCAACGTATCCCGTTAGCGCAGGCTGGGTTACCATACCATTTTCACCCATCAAAAAAAAAAATAGAACACACCATTAAAGGACTACTGATGATTTCAATTTCAGATTGTATAATAATGTCAATCTAACAATTTATAACCGCTTTATTTAGTTAATTTGATTAATAATTATGTAATTCTAATCATTAATTTAAGTCTTACAACACGTATAAAAACAGTCTAACTCTTCATCAAAATTGGTCAATATATTTAGTTTCTGCTTTACTTCAAATATTCACACACAGACCTCAGGTACTTGAACCCATAAAACTTTATCAACCTTCTTTTGTTAACCAGGTATTAAAGTCCATTTTGCAACACCATAAAAAGCGTTATAAATGACTAATTGTATCCCACGGCCTTACATGAATTAGGATTCGTATTGATCTACCAACATACGGTTTACCTGTATATCAAATTCCATTCAAATCCATTCCAAATATACAAACTTCTATACATATACGTCATTAGTAGAATTAGTGTGATAAAACATGTAATTAATACTCGTAAGACCTTAAGTGACTTATTAATTAAATAGACTTAATTTAATATAAACAAAATCCGAAAGTCTACACCGATGTTTTGTTTATAATAATATTGAAGACCTTTGGGGCGCAATAGTGGGCACGTTGCTCTGCGTAAATGAGATCCCGAGTGCAATTCTAAGTCGGGCTAATTTAAAAAATGAAGTTTTCTAAATTGACCCTGGTCTGAATGTTCTGAGTTTTACCCCCAGATATTCGTTACCTGATTCCTGATAATATAAAATATCCGAACTTGAGACTTGTAACTCCGCCTGCGCTAACGGGATACGCTAGCGGAGCACCAGATTCTATAATCACTATTACAATTACAGTAGATGCCAGGAAAAATAAGACAAATTTTATTTTACAGATTCTAATCAGACTAGCATTCTTATTAACAAGGTTAATCTTGTCAGCCATTGCCTGTAGCGAATACAAATTCTATCTAACAGAATGCGAATATGAAATTTCACTGTGTGACTTGTCCAATAAAATCAATAAAATACATTTTTCATACCTGCAATGAAGCAATCTTTTCTCAAACTCAAAGATTAATTTCAATTTGTTTCAACAGTTTTTACCAATTGTTTCGTTATTATTATTTTTTCGGTATTAATCCTGACTGTATAAATGCTAAGAATATATTTATCGGAATTGTTCATCTTGAGTTCAAATGAGTTGAAATAGTCCATACATTCTTTCTTCTTGAATAAGTCATTACTAGTATTTTAACACATTGAATATATTTACCAAATTCACACTAGTAATGCTACGGGTTATGGAGTGCCGCGAGTTGAATTTTTTGGCATGTTTTATTTTTATATGATGGTCACACTGTTGTCTATTTTACACTATTTATGTATATGGGGTATATATATTTTTCAATAGTGGAATCCTAACGAGGCAAAAGAAGAGCGTTATTATAACGATAGCGAGTTGTTAATATTCCGATACTTTCAACTTTATTTATTATTGATTACAGTGTTTGATTACAAAACATACATCATAAAGAACACCGTAACACAGCTACTGTCTTCACACAAAGTACCTTGTTGGGTAGGCAAAAAGTTTAAAGACCTTTATCTTACATACTAACATATATCTCTTGCTTCATTCATTTTCATAACTCGTATTAATTTTTATTACTATGGGTACGTTTTCTTATTACATGGTAATGGAATGGCAACCCCGCCTGCGCTAACGGTATACGCCGACGGGATACCAGTGAGGGCTGAAATGCAGCACGATGGTTTATTGCTAGCGATGGGACTGGTAGTCCGCATTACTAACAATCCCTTCCACTCCACTGTGGGTAGTAATACATAATTACTATTATTGTTATTATAAGATATTGGTTAAATATATTTAACCAATATCAAATTAATCAAAATAAAGTCGAAAGGAATCGAACCCGCAACCATTGCCAGATAAGACTGTGCTATACCGCTTCACCACTGAGGTTCTCATCTACTTAGATGAATACTTTATACTTGATGAAAAGATTGAAAAGTACTTATAAAATAGATATCTTTTATACCAGAGGCTGCAGTAGGTATTGTTTGTTTCCACAGCGTCATTATCATAATAATATTTACCATTTGACAATTTAACAAATGATAACTATGACAGATTTCGAGAATAAATATAAAGAGCGTAAAATTGAAGTCAAACTAAGCTCTTTTCTATGCGTACATTGAACTCTATATATGTTGAAGTCACGTATACAATCCAAACTTATTTGTAAGAATTGTAGCTATTGTTTCTTTGGCAATTTATTAGGTACATCCTAACACTTTCATAGTTTCAACCAATCGTCATGAAATTTCAAATACACATAGTACTATATCCTGAACGAATGTGGACATAATCTACTTTTTATCCTAGTCAATCAACATATCCTGCTCACTGATAAAGTCGCGTGTAAAATTTAATATTCCATTATGTATATTTTTAATAAATAAAAAAATATCGTTTGAAACTGAAACCTAATTTTATTTTTCTATATTACCTAATTAGATATATATCTATAATGACTACAACTGAATATTATTTCTTGTTTTAATAAATATATAATCTAATAAAATAAATAAATTATTGTTAACTATATTAGTTGTAATTTGTGGTAATAAGTTTTGTAATAATAATATTCTTTTTAATTAGTTACATTATTTAACTACATTTTAGATACTTTATAGGTAAAATTATTTAAATACTTTTATTATAATTTTGTATGTTAGCACACTAGGTTTATAACATTGATTTGGCTTTTGCTGTCATAATGTTGTAATTACTTTGAATGAAAATAAAATAAATAAAATAAAAATGTAAGGCTGATGTATCAGTGCCTTACTTATTTTTAATTAGGTCACAAATATTTTTATTTCAGTTAAGATTCTAGTCCATTAAAAACAAACACCATACGATTTACTCTCATTATTCTATAAATTTGTAAACTTATGCTCCATGTAACAGCATAAAATCGTAATCAATTGCATGGAAATAATACATATATACTTATGAATAACCGGATGATAACATAACTCGCATACAAATATCATGAGTTATGTAAAAGTGTTAACGTTAATACCACCTGAGTTCATACAAACTGCTAAACCCATCAATAAATGATCGTGATTATGATTCACGACTCATCCGTAAAGAATTATATAACCAACAATTTGCTTAAACAGTAGTGACTTACTATTTAAATAAATTAACAACTTTTAGCACAGAATATATTTTACTATAATAAAAAAATATATATAGTCTTTGCTTATTATAGTATTTTATTTTTATTTATTACTAGCATTTTCCCCGTGGCTTTGCCTACATGAATCAGTGTTTATATATTATCCTGTATGTATTATCCTTTCTTCCCCATCTGTAATCCGTTCTTCGAGGGGAGGGGAAAAGAATTGTTAGTAATACGGACTATCAGTCTCATTGTTTGCAATATACCCTGTCAGGTCGACCCGCACGTGGTCCCCCCTGGAAACCATCGTGCTAAATTCCAGGTGTATCCATCACGGTGGGCTAACTGACCTGCTTTTTCGAGAAGAAAGGGATTGTTAGTAATGGGGTCTAATTTCTCCATTGCATTAATATTTATTAATAATATACCCTTTCGTGGGGAGAAAGGGATTGTTAGCAATGGAGTTTGACAGCCCCATTGCTAGCAATATTAGGTCGACCTCCACGTGATTCCCCCCGGAAACTATCGTGAACAATTCTGGTTGAATTCGTCGCGATGGGCTAACTGACCTGCTTCATTCTCACCTATCATCCACAGACGAGGTGTCTATTCCACTATCATCCATTGAAAAAAATCCGTTATTTGAGATGTAAGTGGCCGATCCATTACCTACTAACTCCCCAATCTTGTGGGGTAAATCAGTCTCCTTAGTTTGTATTTTGATAGAATTAGTAATAATACAACTTAAGTAATATTTATAAGTACTTATTTTATTTCATTAATAAAAAAATATTTCATGTCAACATTTAACATTTTTAATTAACATTTCATAAAGAAACCTATGAGACAAAGCCTATAACTATAGGCGACCTAAACAAATAAGTTTTTAATATCTTAGTCTTATATAAGTAGTCATGTAGTAGTACTCACAGTCTACACTACATCTCTACACAGAGTCGCATACGAAAAACCACGTAGATCCTCCATTTATTTTTACATAAAGTTATACCTATATATCACAATGTAAAATATTATAACAATTTTATTTAAAGTGTGATAAATGACGTGTTTAAAGTGATCTAACTAGATCTATTTTTCTAATTTATAAAATATTGTAAAATTATAAAATTAGAACAGCAGTAACGGTCGATGAAGTCTCTGTATCCCTCAAGGATTATAGTCATAAGTGTATTTATTTATTATTAAAAAAATATATTAAAAGTGCATCAATGGCTTCATAAATTGGTCTAATTACATTGATTTATAGTTTTGCACACATTAAAACAGGTCAGCAAGGCGGACTTAATGCCTGATGGCATTCTCTACCAGTCAACCGTTACACTAAACAGAGAGAGTAAATGGCGGTGCATTAGTCTAACGAAATCAATTTGTAAATATTTTGTTGGGTAATTATATTATTATATACAATATTTATATGACAGTGCAATATATCACTCAAGTCACATAAAGATTACTCAACTAAATAATATAATATGTAATTTGATGCAGGATTAATACGAGTCATTTATTGAATAGCCAACTTGCTTAGATTCCGAGTCCGCAATTTCAAAAACTCTATGGAAAAAAATGCGCCTTGTAATTAGAACTGAATACTAGTTGTAGAAGGTCACAACAGTCCCTCGAATTTTATTCTTTGTCCTGGCAGAATCTTAAAAAAATTTTTAATTCGCTCTTATAATAAAGAATTTGAATTTTAACATTTGATTTAATTAGACGATATATGTACATGGGAGATCTTTAAGAAAAACTAATATCAGGGAAAAGTAATTAGATTAATAAGGTTTTTTTTTTAATATTGTCTGTCTAACTATCTCTATGTGTATTCCGGGTTCACAGAAAACTACTGCACCAAATTGGATGCGGTTCCTTATTCCTGAAGGTCTAACCTACAACCTGTGTTTTATCTACTAGTGGTCTATTGATTTTCCTATACCTGAAATCCATGTGAAAAAACTCCCGAGTAAAAATCTAATAATTCGGTTTATTACGGTTTTAGTAGGTATATACCTACTAAAACCGTTTTAATAATCAAATTATAGAAATGTCTTTTAACATTTTTATATCATAAATGTACTTTGAGTGAATTGTAATGACAGGTCTTGTAGATTAATTAAATTTCACGAAAGGTAAATGAGATGGTTAGGTATTTTGGGGCAAGATTTTGTTGACCTTGTTTAAAGCTTAACTCAACTCTGAGAATTTTATTTCAACGTCATATATCAATAGGTAATAATGATTTATCAATGATGAAGTACTGCTCTATAAACATAGAGCTTGTGTCACAACTTAAGCACTAGAATTGAAAAATATAACTGTGAGTTACCTAAAAAACATTATTAAAATGTAGTTTATTGTTCTTTGGTCTTATGTAAATTAACACAGAGATAATAAATGTATGCCAATTATAGAGTTACCTCAATCATTAAAGATAATTAAGATTGTACATAATCACAGTATACAATGAAAACACATATCTACTGGTTTGGCAAATTAGAACTAAATATTTTTTTAATTATAAATTCCAAAATTACACTAATTTTTTTACTGAATATAAATATACACCTTAAAAATATATATTTAGAGATAAAAATACGAATTTTCGTAGTACGAATGAAAGTTAGCCTTTTCTCTAAAATAATCGAATTTCGTGAGTTAAATTTAAAGCATACATTTGTAAATCACATTTAGAATTAAAACGAATGTGCATTTTGTTTGTAGATAACATTTCCTTCCTACGCTGTGTATTTTATAACATAATTAACAATTAAACACAATAATAGTACATAATAATAATACGGACTATGTTAGAAAGAAATAAATGCAAAAGTGATTAAAAATGTATAAACTCTTAATAGGTACTGTATATTTACATTTAATTACAATAGCTTATTTAATAAACTATCGGCAATTTAAATTAATAAAAACTAAACACATAGTATTAATATTAAAAGAGCACCGTCCCCAATTCATAATGCATTAAAAATATTGTGCATTATAAAACAAAATTAATAACCCAAGATCCAATTGTGTAATAACTGTCTGATAGAAACCATCGAAAACAAATTTTATTCGTTTTAATAATATACCAATAAAGTATGTATACGGTTTTGTGATGTTTGCTAACTAAAATATAATCATATGCATATTTTGGTTATTACGCAAAAGCAATTAATGTAATTAATGTATGGTGACAATCTTACAAAAGGTGAAATATATGAGCGTACATACATATACCATATATATAAAAATAATAGTACATATATATATATATATATATATATATATATATATATATATATATATATATATATATATATATATATATATATATATATATATATATATATATATATATATATATATATATATATATATATATATATATAATATATATATATAGATATATATATATATATATATATATATATAGAAGTTAAATATATATATATATATATATATAAATACACACACCACACATAATGGGATCTTGTGCTACTTTAGAGGACCTTCTCAATTTTGTGTTTATATATATTATAAATGGTATAATTTCTCCAATTGTGATTTCATTATTCGTCAATCGAAATATTTTAGACATGTGTTGGTCCATCAATAATTTTGTCCAAATTAAAGGGAGTTCTTTTCTTAGAACAAAATGTCAATTTTAAGACACTGCTTGTATTAAGTACTTATATTACAATCTACTTAAGCTACCTTATAAATTTTATAGCGGACTTAGTCCATACTAGCCTAAATAATGGTTACTTATTGCTAATCTGGTGTTCTAGTTCTTGGAGGTTCATCACCAAAACAATGTTTGTGTGCAGGGTCTTTATAGGAATTCTCATGGAGTACACTATGGGAACTAGTACGACACTTTGTTAGACAAAGTTCGTAGTCATCTGTCAGGGAACGAAATAATACATTCTCCTCAGCAGAGAGTTTTGACAACACCAATTCTAGCATGTCTCTCTGAAAATGAAAAAAGTATGAAAGTACAAATTAATATTCTTTGAAATAATCTTAACATTCTCAGAAAGTATGCCAAAACCTGGATCTATGCTGTAATAAAATCATTAAGGTATCATGAAATAACACCTGTATAGAATTTTTCTCCAAAATTAGCTTAGGAGATTAAAAATAAAATCAGATCAAATCAACACTTTTAGTTCCTATCATCATCAACATATCAGCCTTTAACTGTCCACTGCTGAACATGAGCCTCCCTCTATTGGGGAGTTTTGCCAGTAATTACCATACTTGGCAGGCAGATTGACAACCACAGTCAGATTTCAGAGATGTTTTAAAAGAACAGTGCTGCTCACCCCTTGCCCTCCATGAGTGGATTATGAAATTTCATTTTAATAATAGAAAGTGGTAACCATCATTTATAGACATGAATATCACAAATACTGAGATGCCAGGGAGGAAAGGAATTATTAGCAATGGAGTTTGATAGCCCCATTGCTAGCAATATGCCCTATTAGGTCGACCTTCACATGGTTCCCCCTGGAAACCATCGTGAACAATTCTTGTTAAATTCGTCATGATGGGCTAACTGACCTGCTTCATCCTCACCTATCATCCATCACTGGTACCCCGCCGGTGTATACCGATAGCATAGGTGGGGTTATCATTCTATTATCACCCATAAAAAAAATATGGAGAGGCCCATTGTATCCCTCATGCATAACCATTCCTGAGTTGTTTACTACCATATCCTATATTTAAACCGAAATAGCTGTACTATGAAAGCATAGTTGCTTGACTAAAAAAATACAAATCATAACAACCAGTATTTAAATATGCTCAACAAAATAAGGGCACATTGAATATATTTACCACAACAGTCAGCATATACATAGATAAGATAGATAAAAAAAAATAGGATTAAAAATGTAAGATTTGTATTAATAGACTTCTCTAATATCTACTATATTAACATCAAATTTGTCTTAATGTACCAACCTTTCCAGGGTCTAAACAACAGGACACACAGTATTCATAAATAATACAACAGTTGTTATCTCTACAACTGTGACAACTATATCTGACTGTGGCATCAGCATCTGTATCACAGCAACCATTCTTCAAAACATCAGTTCTTTGGCAGACATAACCTGAAAAATATGTATTAAAGACTTTTATGAAAACAATAAAATTATAATTGTTATCCTGTTTACCTTTTATTTAAAAAAATTAAATATTTCACTTCATGAGACAATCTACTGATGTCCAATCATCATCATCATATCAACCATTCACTACTGAACATGGCCTTCCTCATAAGGGAGATTTTGTTAGTAAACGCTGATGCCCGTTCCTCAGCCATTAAAGTCCCATAGTCGCCTTCTACATCACCTGCGAAAAAGGAGAGGGGGACCTATTCTATGCCAGGACCATAAGGCTATAATGTACAATAATAATACAATATCAATTATAATGAGGAATAAAACATTTCAATTTGATAAAGTTATAGCCAATATATATAATAATTTTATATAGACTTCATTTAATTTTATCAACTAACTTTTAATTTCTCTTTATATACTTTATTTATTTACCTCTATCATCGACCAATAACTGTTTTCCTTGTACAGAATTTCTACATATTAAATGGTCATTTGTATCATTATGTTCTTGCAAAGTTCTCCAAACAAATGGTTTTCTTTCTATTGATATATCCTGATACATCATATGTCTGTTGTTGCCCTGTAAATTGATATGAGGTTACACTACATAAAATTTTACTATAAAATAATGTGCAAGCTATTTACATCAAAATACAACCAAAATAGTTTTAAGGAGTATAACACTTATACAATACAAATATTCATTATTTGTAAGTTACATGACTAAATTACAGTGAAATAAAAACATTTCAACCTAATTTTTAACAGCATGAAAACATCTAGGAATCTCTAAAAAAATCTAAGGCAATTAATATATATAGAAAGTACATTAATAATGCAAATAAGTAACTAACCTCTCGTAAAAAACTGACAATGCAGTAGGTCAACGAAGACGCAAATATTATGCCCAATACTAATCTTCTTCGAATGAACCTCACTAAAGCCGCATACCACATGTTAGATACTAGATTTTCAGTACTAGTAAAAATGTTAAATCTACCATTAAGGGAACACAAATGAAAAAACAGTAACATTTTTCATTCACACGCAACTCCGCGACATCGTAATATCAAACAGCACTTTCACCTTAAAAATCTTAATAAATTGAAGCAGCAAACTACTATTTAATACAACGCTGTACTGATTTAATGATGAGACATATCTTAACGATCCTTTTCATGGCCAATTTATTTTATTTAGGAAAATATTTGTAAATAATAGTAACTATATACATGGAATTAGTGTTTCTACTTGAACAATTTACAAAACTGTCAATTAGGCTGTCAGTCAAATTACTGACTGACAGTTTTGAACTCCTTGCTTTTAGATTTTCAGCTAAGAACAAGGAATTACATAGAGGAATGATAAAATAAATACTGTAAATCATTTAATTGCCTTCTTTCTTCTTATGTAAATATAATTAATAAAAAGAGGACGAAAGATACACCATCAGTTACTGTTTTTCCCAATTCATAGCAGGCTAATGTATAGAAATGTTATATGATTTATAGTTTTTATTTTATCATTCCTTATATGTAATTCCTTGTTCTAAGATTTTCAATGTCTCTTCAATTAATATTTTTAAACTAGTGAAGTACCTACCAAGGTACAGGAATTTAATCTACACAATTTGATTTCTATCACCTACTCAACAATTGACTTTTGATGAATGTTTCATTTTCTTTACCTACCTACTTTAAGCCCTGTTCTTTACCTATTTATCTATGTTATATTGCTTATAAAGATGTCGACAAATCATTTAAAGATGATTAAAAACTACTTGATCACGGTGGGCCAACTGACTTATTATAATTCGCACCTATCATTCCTCGCAAACGTAAACCAAAAGCGTGAATGAATTATCCTTAGCATTATCATTCAATGGATGTTAATAACATCCATTAAAAATACTAGTATTAGTATATATATTCCTAATATAGATAGTATTATAATATATTGGTAGAAATAATCCATTATAAATTATACCACTATGTTGTACTATAATTATCACCAGCTATTACTTATACTATAATTGTATTTTTTTAATTGGTGAAAATGAGATGGTAACCCCGCCTGCACGGGGGGGGGGGGGGGGGGGAGGAATAGTTAATAACGCGGACTACCAATCCCATTGCTAGCAATATACCCTGTCAGATCAACCTCCGTGTAGTGTTCCCTGGAAACCATCGTGCTGAATTCCAGGTACATTCATTACGATGGACTAATTTGCGAGTTGCGACTTTCTCTGTTTGTCCGTTCGTCCATCTGTCACGGCGCTATATCTCGGCAAGTACATTAATATGGCATATTAGTATATATGTAGTATATTATTAAGTGTATTTAAAGGAGAAACCTGGTGGGCGAGCCCACCCTAAGATGCGACCGAAGCTTCGTTTTTTTTTTTATACAACTTATAATGGCAAACAAGCTGACGGCCCACCTGATGGAAAGTGGTAACCGTCGCCTATAGACATGAGCAGTACCATGGACATAACAAAGTATACTGTTTCGCCCGTAAAGATATAACTTAGAGTAGGTACATTACGCGTTTTTTCTAACGGAGTCCTCCCCTCTTCTCCTCTGGGCGCCAATGGCCAATGGTAGGATTTTAAATTACAGGTGGAATCAATTATTCGGTTATTTTCATTTTCATTAAGTTCTATTATTATATACTATTGCGTTATTTTAAAAACCATACCAGATCTAGTGCTAAATGGTAAGTAGTGAAAACCTGATGCACGCAGAAATAAAGACATTAATATTTTAATTATTTATATTTTTTTCTAAGTGTTTTTCATGAAACCAAATTGATGTAGCCCTTTTTCTATAAATATTGTTAGGGACTGAAATACCAATTAACTAAAATATAAAAAAAAATGGAACTTTTTCATACAGTTTTAAATGATAATGACGCTAACGGCCCCTGTGATGAAATATGGAAACCGTCACCTATAGACATGAACAGTACCATGGACATCACAGTGTATACGTTGCCATACCTGAGAAGTTAGATGTTATGCCTCTATTCCCTGTAATTTCACTGCCATATCTCACCCTTCAAACTGAGGGGAGAAGGGATTGTTAGTAACGCAGACATCCAGTCCTAATTTTTTTTTAATGCATGATAATGGAACCTGTGCTAACGGTATACACTGGCGGGGCACCAGTGAGGGATGCTAGGTGAGAATTGAAAGGCAGGTCAGTAAGCCCATCGTGATGAATACACTTGGAATTCAGCACAATGGTTTTCAAGGGTGACCACGTGGAGGTCGACCTGACAGGGTATATTGCCAGTAATGGAACCGGTAGTCCGCATTACTAACAATCCCTCCCCCCATCCAGTCCCATTACTAACAGTATACCAGATCGACTTTCTCGGGATTCCCCCTGGAATCCATCGCGCAGTTCCAAGCTAGTTTATTACGATAGGCTAACTGACCTATCCTTTCATTTCCAATTACCATCCCTCACTAGTGCCTACCCAGGGTATACCGATAACACGGGCGGGGTTATCAGTTCATCCAACCATTAAAAACCCCCTTCTAACGGAAACAGCCGTACAAACACAATTGCTACACGGCAGAAACACGAGACCCTAAAATGACGTTCATCATTTTTATCTTTCTATTCTGCGAGGCAATCACGCAAACTATTTTAACAAGTACTCTTTAACATGAAGGAAACAATATATAAATAGACAATGAAGAAACGAAATAAAAACAAAGAAATAATATGAAACGAAGACAGGAATATTGACTCATAGCAACGTGTGAATAAAAAAAAATGTGTTAATGACTTAGTACATTTCTTATTAATAATTTAAGATTTAAAAAAAAATAATTACCAATTTCAATCATGGGAAAACCTTACCTAACTTTGCCTTGATTTAAAAACTAAACTACTGAACCGATTTTGATAAAATTTCTATGGGACTAATCTAAGAGTATCCTTTCAGATAAAAAAAAAGATTTTCCAAATCAGTTTTTAACTGACAGGGTTATGAGGTAACAAATATTAAAAAAAAACTACAACCGAATTGGAGTCTATATTATATGCCATCTACGTATCACAAAATCCAGTGTTAAATAATAATTATGCAAAAAGAGATTTAAACATACCTTTTCCCATTATACTCGTACACATTTCATTCTTATAGAATATTTTTTTATATTTCCTTTTTCTATATCTTTTCTAATAATGCCTATTAGCTAGATTTATTAGTTTGATCGAAAATAAAACTCAGAAATCACATTATAAATATAAACAACCAGAAAATTAATTTCTTTTTATTTTACCGAGAAGATTATCTTACAAAACCAAGTATGTAATGTATACGAAAGAAATAATATACTTAATTTACTTTATTAATTGCCTAATCTATGGCATATCTACTTTAAAGGCGAAAATGTATATCAAATCAATATGACAACTAAATTCTTAAAATCCTCGAGCAAAATAATTCAATATTAATGATCTTTATGCTACTTACAGCTGAATTTATTTACCCATTCGTTACCTATGAAATTTATTACCTATTTATTTGTTCAATACAAATAATTTTATACAAAACAAAATTTACAAATACAATATTTCAAATTCAATAATGTCTAACTAAATACGAGTATATTCGGATTGTACATAATTCCTCGTGAGACTTATGCGATATAGCATATTTGTGAAGCAGTTAGACATAATTATGGGGACTAAAGATAACTTGGTGTTAAATGACCAGCCGAGTACTATTGACATTTGCAATAAATAAAGACACGTAAACTACGTGTTTTGGATTTTCATTTTCAGTTTCAGTCGCTCTCAGTCGTGAACCGATCGAAGGGAGCGATCCACGTTTTACGGTTCCGGTGTACAGCGCTACGAGTTTGCCGACCACATGAAAATGTTTCCGTGTACTTAATATAATATTTAATAAAATACATTCTATTTCATATTTAATAATACTTATTAATGTGCTTATACGAATAAAATAATATAGTGACATCAACTTTATTTTTAAAGACGCACTAATAATATTGAAAATTATTATTATAATAAAAATTATTACTTACTTACACAATGATTCTTCTGTGATTAATAAACAGATATTGAGATGAAGTGCTGAACATTATCTTTACACTTTATCTCTAAATCTGATACAGCATTACAATGAAAGGTAAGGACATCATTTATCATGACATCATTTTCTGATTTGGAAAAGTTTATAAAAATAGAATGTTTGAATATATTATTTTCATTTGGGTAAGTAATTACTGTTTTGGAAAGACAAAAAAAAAGTAAATTATTCTCTTAACTCTTCTATGACCGTTCTATGAAATAAATGTCTATTAATAAGACAATATACTCGTATACAATCCGTAAGAGTCAGAAAGTTTGCATCACACCTGACTTTTTACTATTAATAGGTATATAATGTTGTTACACCAGTAAAAATTGTAACTGAAAGTTCTATATAGTGCCACAGAATTCCTTTGTAATGCACCGAATTTACAGCTATGAAAAGCCTTTGATGTACCGCCACTACATTTGTGCGACTTCGGCAAGCCTTTGTGATACCGCTTCGGTAATTTTATTTTTTAATAGGTTTTTTTTAAATGGATGGTAATGGAATGGTAACCCCGCCTGCGCTAACGGTATACGCTGATGGAGCACCAGTAAGGGATGATAGGTGGCGATGAAAAGGCAAGTCAGTTAGCCTATCGTGATGAATTCACTTAAAATAGAACACGACAGTTTTCAGGGGGAATCGACCTGATAGAGTCTATTGCTAACAATGGGGCTACTAATCCCCATTTATAACAATCCATTATCCCCCTTTTTTATAGGTTGAAAATAGAATAGTAATCCCGTATGCGTTATTAGTATACTAGCGAGCCATCAGCGAATAGTGATAGGCGAGGATAAAGGCAGTTTAGACCCACCGTGACGAATTTTTTAAGAACTAATCACGCCGGTTTCCGGAAGAGACCGCTGTAAAGTCGATCTAATAGAGTATAATATTCAATAATGGGGATAAGGGATTATTATTAATAGGGAAGTTAGTCCCTATTGCTCTCAATATACCCTGTCAGATCAACCTCCACGCGATTCCTCCTGGAAACTATCGTAACCAATTTATTGTTGAATTTGTCACGATAGACTAATTGATCTGCCTTTTTATCCTCACCAATCGTCCCTCACAGGTGCTCCGCCAATGTACACCGATAGCACAGGCAAGGTTACCATTCCATTTTCATAAATAAAAAATTCTCACTACTAAAAATCTCCTTCACTCTTCGATATTCCTTATCATGATACCGTAGCCGCTTCGGCAAACCTTTATAATACCACTGCTATTTTATTAAACCTTTATGACACCGCTGTCGCTTCGACAATATTTGTAATGCGTCGCCGCTCAATACACAATAAATATGTCATGAAAAAATAATTTAAAAAATGCCAATGTACATACTTTTAATTTTATTATTAATTCTACTAAAATTATCTTACTATTATATTCTAATAAAATTATCTTAATTATCAACTCAGTTGGACAAAACTTAATTGCAGGTCAGGCATTTTAATATCGAATTCCAATCTGAACTTTTCCATTTTCAAATTCATGTCTGTATTATTTAAAAAAAAATATTGTCGTTTGCACTTGATAAGCCACGCGAACACCTTCACACGAGTAGTAGCAGTAATGATTGACACCACCTGCCTGTTACAATTTTTTTTTTATTTTTACAGTAATAGAACGACTTCTATTATTAAGTTTTGTGACTGCGGTGACTCCCGGCCCGCATTACCGACGTCGAAACAACTCTGATTATCTGGTGAATAAACTTTGTTCAGTCAGAGAACACATCCGAGGCCATTGCGAACCCACACATTTTAAACTCACCTGCCGAAAAGGATTCGCTGACGAATGGTTAAATGGAATCAAGTAAGTTAATTTTATCATTAATCAAATTTTTGTTTTGTTTTATTCTCTATAATCACAGTTGGTTATATATACGTATTATTAAACAAAAATAATGTATTATATTTTTCCTACTATCTACAATCATTAACAAAATGTAAGTTTAATACAAGTCACTTTTAAATGTGTAAATCTTTTACAAAATATTGATATGAGCTGATGATAATAATTTATTAAATTATAAATAAAAAGTAATGCGTAATTTATTCATTGATTTTTCTTACACTGATAGGAAAATATCTATTTTAGCTACCCAATGATTTAAACGCTTACCATCAGGTGGACCGTATGCTTCATTGCCACCTCAATAGTATAAAAAAAATCAATTTTTAAAGTAACTTGCATGAAACTTACATTAAAAGAACTTATTTTAAAGTCTAATATTACTAAATTTTAAAATTATAAATTTCTTATTTTACAATATTATCAGACTAGTTATAAAAAATACATTAATAATTTATTTTTTTATAATTTATGCACTTTTTATTTTATTTTTTTCTTCAATATTATTCTACTTTTGCGATTGTTGTTTTAATATAAATTTGACGTAAGTTACTTTAATTATTAATCAGTAGTAAAAAATGTAAATCTATTACATTTTTACTTAATTATCAAATTAGATTCATATAGCTTTAAGACTTTTATACTTTTGCCTTCAGGGAATAAGTCTTTTTTCACTATTAAAATTATTCTAAACCATATTGTTATTTAATTATAAAGTATTTATCTATTTATATTTACTAAGCAATTACGTAAATGTATGTATTATTGAAATACATAAAATAACAACTGTAAAAGCTGACGAGGGGAACTAAGCACAATTCAGTACTACAATTAAACATGGAAGATAAAAAGAATTCGAAAAAAGCCTGTAATAAAAAGCTTCGCTAGCATATAAAATAATTTTATTTTTATATATAAGTAAATAAAAATAAAATTATCGTTATCAGTATTAGGTTATGTTATTAAATGAATAGAAAAAATAAATTTTACCAATTAAAATAGATTTGTAAGCGATTTTAATTTTCATGAATAAGGGAGTGAGTTTATAATAATTTAAAAATTTAATTTTTTAAATTAAAAGTCTATCAAAATTTAATTCATAATACTCCTTAGATGATGATTACATTTGACTGTGATATCAAATTAAAAATTTGATTTTAACAAGACTTTCAGAAAATGATGTCTCAGAATCGAATATATTGTTTCACCCTCCATCATGTGATGTTCGCTTGTAAAAGACTTTTATATTAAGTTATTTTTATGTTATCAATTAAAATTTGTAGGTGTACCTTAATTCTTACTAATATTATAAAGGTACATATATAATATTATATAGGTATATATATATATATATATATATATATATATATATATATATATATATATATATATATATATATATATATATATATATATATATATATATATATATATATATATATAGTCGAAGTCGGTTAAAAGCTATTACTTACTGGTCCCTCGATATTGTATACCATTAGCGTAGGAGAATATATCATTCCATCTTCATTCATAAAAAAATATACACGTATATATGTTAATATATAATATACACTCGTATATTTAATAATACATCTCTTTATGATTTTTTTTTGTGTACATATTTTCATTTATTCATTCATTCACTTTATTTGCAGACACGAAATATCACATTTGCATGTAATTGAATGGCCTGGCAAATGTTTAAATGTAGGTCAAATTCAGGAGCATTTTCCTAACTTGAAAAGCTTGGAAATAATTAACAGCACAGTGCTACACTCTTTCAAAGAGAACTTTAAAGCAACAAGCAAAATAGAGGTAATAAAACATTTAGATATCACTGCGATAACATAAAACACTTTAATAGGACCTTTTTGTTATTATAAAAGACGAGGTTTTTCCAGGCAGAAAAACTTGTGACACTGCGACCTTTTGTGATGATGATCTTTTATATTCTATAGTGTGCCTTTTTTATGGTCATATTTAAAAAGCTTGAAATGAAAAATAACCTACAAAAGTCTTTATATTATACTAATACTATAAATGTTACTTTGTAAGAATGTTTGTATGTTTTTTACTCGGATAAAATATATCCTAATTTAATATTTTATATACTGATCCATGCGGGTGTAGTTGCGTAAAACAGTTAGCGAATGAAATTTTCAACTATAAATTAATACAAATATGAATCCTTAGAATCCTAAAACAGAAAAATTGTCTGTGAAGAAAAAAAATATATTTCTTTATATTTGCAGTGATTCTAAAATAATTCAAATTTTTTTTCATAAAAACTTATACTTAGAAACTGTCCTATACTGTACTAAAGGAATTTTTTACAGAATTTAACAGTACACGGACTAACATCACTATGGGAAATACCGCCAGAAATCGTCGAGAACATGAAAGAATTACGCATTATAGATCTCAGAGGTAATATGCTGAGACACATCAAGGCAGGACTGTTAAGAGGACCCAAATTACAGAGAGTATACTTAAGTGGTAAGACATTGATATTATTAATATTACTTAATAAAATACCAGCTTTTATCCCCGCTACTTCGTACGCTTAAATTTCAGTAATAGAAAACCAATGGAACTGACTACTTTTGAATAGCGTATCAAAATAAGACATATACCAGTTTTTAAGTTAGACCTACCGAATGACAAATAAAAACTATATCCAATTTGTCACTGTAGTATTTGCGTGATAACAACACTGGAACAAATAAACAGGCAGACAAAAATTCTACACGTTACTGTTTTAGTATTTTTTAATCTTAAGGCGAGACTTTGTGTGTTCTACCGCTTGTGTAATGAATTGTGTTCTAAGGAATTGTTTGAAATAAAAATGCGGTTTCAGAGGAGTTTTTTCCTGTAAATTCTCAGGTTGTGGAATTAACTCCCTGCCGAGGTTTCTCATAGAGAATACAGTAGGTATGGGATTCTTCAAAAAGGGTGTATTAAGGTTTCTTCAAGATTTGCAGCGTGCACGTGATATTCCACTAATATTACAGATACATAGGCTACAGTAAACGATTACAATCAGATGGGCATACAGACAAATCCAGAGACAGCATGGAATGCTTGTTTACCACCTTACAAATATAACAAAATCTATTAATCTTATTAAGATCCCCTCATAATAATCTTTCTTAAATATCTCCCATCTACAAACATCGTCTAGTTACAATCTTGTTATATTAGTAAGATAATGAAGTTTTCAATAGGTGAAAGAATTTTTAAAGTCTGTTAAGTATTTTTTGAGTTTATCCAAAACAAACAAAAAATCAAATCCTTTATCAAAAATCCAAATCAAATTAAAATATAGAAGTAGAAACATTTTATACAGGTAAGAAGGCAAACAATCATACGGTCCGCCTGATATATAAAATAGCCTACGGACATTTGTATTATCAAGAATATTGCGTATACGTTGCCATACCATGCACACTATTTACTCTTGGGAAAATCTCAGAATCAGAAAGCTCATTCCATAATCCTAAACACCCGTGAGGGAAAGCTTCTCTGAAACCAATTAAATTATTTGTATTTGTAACTTTAAAATTGCATAAAGATATAAAATTAAATTTATTCTTTCTTTAATAAGTAAGTTAACATTTACCACAGAGATATGTTTTTAAAAGTGGCCTGTAGTTGCAAGAAACTTTACTTACATGCCTGTGTTTCGGTTTGAAGAGTGATACATATATGACAATGAAATGACTAAATGGATAATATTGACCTGACAGGATATATTGTTAATAGTATTGCTACTTCCCCCCCCCCCCCCCCCCTCTGTATCGTAGATGTTATCGCCTGACCTCTTTAATGTCTTTGATGCTGTTCAATTAGTGCTTCAGACTTTTATAGAACAAGAAAAAAACGTGCTTACTTTGTTCTCAGACACTTGTTTCCCGCTGATGTATTTACAATGCCTACCTAGGTATATAGGTACCTAACGACTTTTTCTTAACTAAGCCACTATCACCAGCTGTTACCGGATTTCACAACTTTACCACTTAGCAAACTTATCCGAGTCTTGTTATAGATAAAATTATTCCTCAGGCACTTTCTTACTATGTAGGCACCTAGCAAACTGAAAAATGAAAAATATATTAATTTACCTTCGCGACTTCACTTATATTATGGCCTAACTAATATAAAATATAAGATATCTAATGATAAAGTAACTTAATGGGTTATGAACGCATTTTAAGTAGTGTAATAAATGATAACATTTGAAATGTTCGCACTCAGGTGTAAAAAAGTAACAACAATTTATTTTAAAGTTTTTTTATTTATCTTTCGATATTTAACACTGTATTGCAAAGTTATAATATTATGTAGCTGTAAATAACCTTCCACGAATTATAGATTAGTATTAGACGGATACACACACTAGGTAATTATGTAATTTCGGTTCAATGCGTTCAGAAATGTCCTTGAAATATTAAACTGAAAAGGAGGGTTCAAACATCAAATATTTGAGAGTACTGTGAGCTCTAATCTAGCCGTTACAACAAAACTTTTTATGTCAATTTAAATTTCCAACTAATTCACTAATTCACGGATGATGAAAAATATTTAGAAATTTCTTAGTCAAAGCGGTTTTAAAGCCAAAGTTAAAAGCAAGTCGTACGTAATATATGTGTGCGACTTACTTGCAGCAGTGAATATACGCACACAATTTGCTACGATAAATCTTTATAATCGCATTGTGCACTTCGCACCAGCGATATATTTTATTTAAATTAAATAGATATTTATTGTTAGATGACTACACTATTGTCCACATTGCACACAAAATACCTATTTTAACTCATCGTGGCAAGAACCAAACCTGATGTTTATTGAATTAATAACTAACAAACCGTTGTCCATTGTTAATTTTAAACTTTCGCGATTTTTACACATATTTTAAATACACAATCAGGACTTAAATATATAAAAAATATTACCTATGTACTTAAATACTAGCGGCGCTCACTTCAGTCCTGTCATCACCACGACGTGGTGCAACCCACATCGCAACGTCGGCTATGAAGAAGCAAGTATATATGTAGGTACTATTTACCTGTAAAAGGTTTTACATTACGTTAAGTCCCGATTGTGTATTTAAAATAATCGTTGTCCAATCTAAGCGAAACTATGTTCATAGTGTATGTACATACTTTCCTTGAATTAGTTATTATCACGAAAAATAAAAACATATATATATATATTTGAAAAAATGTAAATAATCAAATTGTATCATTTTATTCATTAATTTACGTGTGTTAAATGGCTCAAATAAAGTGTTTATCTATCTATCTATCTATTCAACAAAAAAACAAAATAATACAGCTATGGATAGGATCTATTAATCATACGAGTATAAGGGTCTTTATATTATGGATATCTATGTGAATCATATTTTTAAAAACCAATTTCAACCACAAACTTTGTATCTTTCACGCAACGGATGATTGAAAAATTTTTGACTCGAAATGGGAAAAGCATTGTTTAAAATCAGTCTTTAAATGCTCCGTTTACGTAAAAATAGTCATAACCGTCGAAACATAAGACCAAAAAGTTGTAATAAATAAAACATATTATCAATTACGCAATATTTAATACAGGGAATACCACAAAAAATTTCGCTTAAACAGTGCACTCATATAAAATATGACAGGAACTGCTTGTACAGAGAAATAGCACTTAAAATTAAGAATTATTCTACCTCACGTTGGACCATACCACTGTTCGCAAAAATATTGCTACTTACGTCAACAACAATTCTAAAACACGCGCCACGGTAACTAGCAACCATCCTAATAGAAACTATGACACAAACTCGACACAACACACCAATATAGCAAACTAATACAAACAAAGGGGTGGGATAGATATCCTTATAGCAGCAGTCAAATATTATCTTGTTAATGTTATAGTTTACATGTTTGAACTTAACAGAACTATAGAGCTAATAACTATGAAGCTCAAAAATTAAAGCGACACCTAAAATAATATCTATTTACTATACAATGGTACATACAACAACAGTATAGTTATTGACAAAACAAAAGCCGAAGTATAAGAATCAACACAATATACTAAAAATAAATACACACAATACAATACAATAAAGGAAATCAAATATCTGGATACAGACATAAGTTCAGAGCTCAACCGGAAAGGTATACTCGAAACACATTTTACTAAAAAAACAAACATGCAATGGCAAACAGCACGACTGCTATACAAAATGTTAATCGAATACGAAACCGAGACATACGGACTAAAAGCAACTGCGATTATAAAAACGAATAGATCAGTTCTCGGAAGAGCCGATATGACATCAACTCGAGAAAGCCATTAAGGATCAAAAAGTCAGTGACAAGGGGAAGACAGCCACCAAACGAGTAAAATTTTTAAAGATATGCTTCTACGGTCATATTTAAAAAGAGAGGCTTCACACAGCGATAAATTACAGTGCTAATAAACTAAAAATAGGAAGACTAATGTTCACTTGAAAAAATTCCTTTCACCGAGTCCTTAAATATTATGATAAATCACAAAATGAAAAAAACAACAACAACAACAACAAACCAGGGTCCAAACCAAACTTAAACAGGAGATAAGATAAATATTTTAGCTGCCAGAAAAGGATAAATTTGTTATCCTTTTCTGGCAGCTAAAATATTAAAACGTTTTAAATAAGAAAACGTCTTATCGACAAAATAGTACATACTGGAACACGTTAAAGTCACCTAGAAACCAACCGAAAATCAGAAACACCATACAACAACGAAACTACAGCTAAACTGCCCACCTTCATTCAATCTGCTTATCAATGCTCATTATTGACTGACTCCGTCTTTACCTAGTCGTCCTATACTGCCTTTTTAAGCTGAATATTCAATCGATTTTTTTAAATTCCGGCTCGCCTAACTGACTAAGCGATCTGTCCTTGCTATTGGATATAGGCTCGAAATATGGGAGATATTTCTATATATATATATATATATATATCTTCTTTTATCGAATGTCAAAGAATGAAATATATATATATATATATATATATATATATATATATATATATATATATATATATTTATATATATATATTTATATTATATATATTTATATGTTATATCGCAGGGCGCGCGGTCCAAGCAATCCAGCCACGCGCCCGGCTATCGACCAACCACGACTTCAGATCTGACAATGTTTGACGGTTAGGATTCCTTCAGTCATTTGTTTATTTGTTTATTTGCTTGAGCTTCCCTGCTATATATGTGCAGAATGCTACAAATGAGTCAATTACGATTTCTTTAGTTCGGTTTTTATTAACATAATATGGCGTTACCCTAACTATAACGCAGCAGCTTTCGTGCTCCAGTCACGGGGTTTAAAAAATTGGACAAACTTAGAGTACGTGATGCACTGTCTTTACTGATGAATTATTACATGGCCATTTATTGTTGTCTGTAATATGGAATCTTTGTAAATATACTACGTCACTACGTCCTTACTCGGCAGCTGTCCAAACTTTTTTTTTATATACGCCAGGATTGAACATTGAAGTACATACCTATATATAATAAGGATATATAGATTATAAATTCACAATTTCAATTTTGATTGTAGACAGTGATCAAATAATTAATTAATAATACGTTGTTTGCTCAGAGTTATGCCCGATCCAAGTTAAATTACAGTTATTCCATTTCATTCAGATTATTGATAAAAATATTTTACTCTTTGTTTCATCAATGTTTCATTGTTTGAACTTTTCGAGGACTGCTTATATTATACAAATGGTTTTAGATTTATAAAATTTTGTCGTGAAAAGTTGATTCATACAAAATATTTATTCAACACGTTTTAATTAATTGAATTACTATATTCTTTTTTAGAATTAGAAGACTTGACCATGTTCCACCAAAATTGTTGTCACTTTTTTTTAACGCAAACTTAGGTTATTTATTTATTCAGTGTTTCTTCTGCAACTTTACAGAATACTACACCACAGGTACGCAAATTAAAAATTCAACTCAACTACGGAGTTATCGAGAGGATTCTTTTATGACTTTCTCATGAAAATTTTATCTTGTCATTCCAAACGACTTGTGAAATGCTATTGACTATATTCTCTTCTTTGAAGATAAACTTACAGATTTGTGTAATGCTATCCCCATTATCATTTACTAGATGTAGCTGTAAATGAAAAAAGTATCGAGATACACTTTCTCAGAACTGTGAGTTCTGTGAAAATAGGTACATCGTTTTTACTGATTACGAGAACTCACACTTTCTTGTGTCTAATACCTTTCCCAGTACAGTCCAAGTACAGGCAGTACTTAACATATTTTTTTCTGTTTAATAATAAATATAGTAAATTACAAATTGTTGAAATGATTAAAATCATTGTATTGAGGTGTTGTTTTTTCTCTAATTTCGGGATTATATAGTGCTACATTAATAACTAACAAATTCGCTTAATCACGTGACTTCGTCCGCGTAATCAGGATATATTTATTGACTGGGTTAAAAAGTAACGTGTATCTTACTCAAATAGTACGCTATAGCCAGCAAACTTCATAATTTTTTATTAAAAAACCTATACAGATAAACTCACATAAAATAGAATTAGTAAGGATTATCTAACTGTCAATCAACAAATAGAATTAGAGAGTAATTGCCATAAGCCTATGAATCCTGTTCATCCAGAGACTACGAGTCATTTGGATGAGAGATTATCGTTACCTATTCTCTGACATACGGTTTCAGATTAATGATCAGACACGAATAAATTAATCTATGCCTACGATACTGGTCTTTGCGTTTGTTGTATCATGCATGCAATATAGTGACTGCTCCGATCTTGTGGATATGCATTAGCTGCATCAGATGAAGCTGAATATGTATCTGTTAAATAGGTACCTAAAATAAAGTGGTATCCCACAGCTATATAACAGCCTCGACAATATGGTTTCATACATCACGGTCCACGAAGTTATAACACTTTTAGTGGAATAGGTACTCCGAACAATAAATAATTTGTGACTGACACACTATCAATCATTAAAGTAATATATATATACCATGTACCTTAATAATATATAGCCGTTTGGTCCCGGCATAGAGCGGGCCACCCCTTCCTTTCCCGTGAATGTCGTAAGAGGCGACAAAGGGAATTTAATTGTGAAGAGATAGGCAGCAGCGTTCTAATTAAAACGTGCCAACCTGCCTGCCAAGCATGGCAACTAGTGGCAAAACCCACCAAGGGGAGTGCCTATATTTAGCAATGGACAGTTAACAGCTGATATGATGATGATGAAGAAATATTTATACCCCAATTTAAATCGTAGGACGAATATAGTTTACGATATGTAATATGAACTTAACATTTACTTTTAACATTATTGATTTGAGAAGGCTATACTCGGAGTTTTTTTGCGTGACGGAATCCGAAACGAAGATATCCGTAAAAAGCACCAAAGTATCCGATATAGCCCTAAGGATAAGTAAATTGAAATGGCAATGGACTAATCACATACCTCAAAGAACTGCCAACTGATGGGTAAGAAAGGCACTTGAATGGCGACTCCGTACGGGCAAATACAGTGTAGGACAAAACCCCTACTAGATGAAGTAACGATCTAAAATGCATTGTAGGGAGTCAGTGAACGCAAGTGGCTCAGGACTGTTACTTATGGCAGTCTATGGGCTATACCTATATTTAGCAGTGGACAGAAGAATTGCTGACATGATGATGATGATGATGATTATTGATGTAAACAACTCAAGTGTTTATGATTTGTATTGCAGACAACAAGTGGGATTGCTCTGACGGTGGCCTCGATTGGTTAGCAATGGAACGTGATAACAACACACTCAGAAAACGTATCATTGATTACTACGACTTGATGTGCCACCAACAACTTTATAGAGGGAAACCTCTTCACAAGGTCATGGATATTATTTGGGTAAGTCAATTAATCACTTAAGTTACTTTCTAATGTCAATCATTTGACGTGACAATGTTTGCCGAAAACGTTCGGGAAACCATTTAAGTGATAGCAATTAGGCAGTCGAAATTAATAAAAGCAACTACATGATACGAAGCTAAATGACGTAGTTTTGAAGTGAACTTTAAATATAATATAGATATACTAGTAAATGTTTATTATATCAAATAAGTTTCACGTAATTTTTAGCGTGTCTTATAATTGAACGACCCTTATCATAAAATACGGCACTGAAAATGATTTAACCGATAATATCAAAATACTTATATGTATGTACCTAGCAACCATCGACATTTATAGTCAGACATGCTACGATGAATATCTATTGTACCTACTCTGCTCAAGTCTTGTTCTACGAGAACTGTTTTTCCTTTTAATTTCACTACGGGACAGTTTTAAACGTATTTTTTTAAATGAGACTATAAATTAAAATTTTATTACATTATCATTACTATTACTTTTTTTTAATTTGTTTTATATCACTATTATTTACGTACATAATTACGATGTGAATATTATACTGTATGTAATTCCCCAGAAACCGCTAAGAAACAGGTAATGTATCGTGAAATTAATTCACAAAATAACAAATTTCTGGAACGTAGGTCATTGATTTTTAGAACCACGTGTAACAAAATAGTCATGTTTGGTTTAAATTTCCCTTATATTATGTTTAAACAAATAACGTCCCAAACTTGAGTAGTTTATTAAAAAAGACATAGAAAACAAATATGTATACATATATATGTACTAATCTTTACTAATATTATCAATAGAAAACGGCGATTTGATAGTATTACCTAATCGTTTTCTTGCGGACACTCTGGACATGTTCTAGCTAACTATTATCAGAGACCGAAAGTTACTTCCAATATGAGTAACTCTTTCATAGTTAGACAAACATCTGGGAATGAAAAAAAACAAGCAATCATAAATGTATGGATGTTATAATTATAGTTACATAAGGTATTTCTGTAAACGTTCTGATTGATAGTGGTTCTACTATATCGCTAATTTCATCGTCATTAATAAAGCACTTTAATAGCCTCTGTAAATCAGCATTTTGTAACCTTGTCAATAGAATTTAATGATGTTATTCTAAAAAAATATTTGTTTTAATGGCAACGGAGGATATGAATACTTCAGTCATATTAGAAACAGATGTATTAAACCGCAATTATATTATATATGTACAGTTCTTTCTTCAGAAATAAAGTTCACTCGATTCGCTTCGAAGTTCATGGTATCGTGAAAGACCATATGGACCCCTGATGTGTGTGCTTTGAGAGTAAGTCTCTTGTTTCATTCCATGTATTTTTTTAGTAGTGGAGATATTAATTTATGGAATTCACCCAAGCGAATAGTGATTTGTTGTTCCGACATAAAAAAGCTACCCTGTTCTGTTACTGTGGGTGTCATAATAAACGACTAAAGGAACTAAAAGTGAAGATAAAGGGAATGGCAGTAGCGTCTCTCTTAAATATCTCAAAAAGCCTAACTATGGTTACCAACCCGCCTGCCAAGCGTGGCAACTACTGACAAAACTCACCTTATGGGGAAGGTTTATGTTCAGTAGTGGACAGGTAACAGCTGAAATGATGCTGATGATAAATAGAGATTTAAATACAATTTTCATAGCATTCACTGCATCCTTACATATAACTAAATACTTGTTATATGTTATATTCAGTGTTCCACATGGTAATTGCCTTTAATTTAGGTCAACCTGCAAAAATGAATTATTTACAATTTTAATAACTATATGGTATTTATTATTCAATAGCATGAATCTACAACTTCATCCGTTCTCTAAATAATATACGTAAATGATACTAAAAATAAAAATACAAATATTTTACAACGTTATAATAAAATTAGAATCCAAATAAGTAAACAGAAAAACCATTGAATACCTCAACATTTTGAATAACATACAGACTACCATTTTATATACGTGTTTATATCATTAACAGCTATTTAGGTCAAGTGTGGTAAATTCCATGACACCATGTTATCGTAAATAATATGGCCACATCACAATATTATAAGTGGCAATAGCACTAAGTGGATAGATTTTGTTACTTTTTTCGTAAGTTTGTAACGACTTGTACAAAAATGTTTCCAATTTTTTGTTTCAATTTCGTAAATTGAAATCCAGTCAGTGTAAAAATGAAATAAATTAACGTCGCTTGTCAACTTATAAATCTACCCAAATAAATGAGTGATATGGGTTCGAATCGAAAATCTAATCCGAAATGTAATAAAAAATTTACCATCCGTCACGTACAACCTCATTGATATGATATTTCTAATAAAAATTTTGTATTCAAATTGCCGAAATGTGCCATCAATTTTCCTGTTCAAAGTATTATTGAAAATGACCGAAGTAAGTATTTAAAACAATAAAGCGCATAATCTATACTTACTTTCCCAAAGAGAGTTAACGTCAGGCAGGTGGCCGGTCGTAAAACTAAGTCAAATCTTTTTGTAATATGGAAAAAACATATTACAATAACCCTATATAATAATTGGTAAAATAATGGGAAGAAGAAGAATCTATACTTACTTAGATACTAATACTTTAAATGTGAAAATTAGTTTATCTGTATACTTGTTATCTCTTAGCCCTTTATCGACTCAACTAATCCTTACTTGGGATAAAGAACAACATAAGTATACTATTTGTCCCGGTAAATCAACATATATTCACGCGGACGAAGTCACAATTAAAAGCTAGTACGTTAAATAAATAGTAACTGACTGCAGAGTACTTAATTATATTTATTTATTATTTTATTTTGTAATTAAATTATTATAACTGTAATTATATATTATATTAACTAATATCAATTGTTTACTAACATTATTGTACTAAAATTTTGCATACCATTGTTTTGACAAAACACGCATGTACATAACATATTGCTAACATCTGTATCTTGTGTTTTTTGAGCAAATAAATTATTATTATTATATATTAAATAACGCTGACAAATGAACTAGAATTGAAAATTGCACTATCGCAAATAAAACATGCTTATTTGTACAATATCCATCAATACGTGCGTCTACATACTGGAATCGATATATGACACCAGTGCTGTTATATTCTACAGATCTGCAATAATATTGCCTACCGACTCACATCAAGTTGATGAGTGTGTGGCCTAATTATTATTATTATTTTTGTTAGACAGTTATGTCACTTATTCCGATTGCTTGGGTACCTGTCTCATTCGTGTTTCAACCGTGAAGCAATTGTGTTTGCATGGCTGTGTTTCGGGTTGAAGGGTGGGATACGGCGTGAATTTACTGAGTACAGAGGAATAACACCTGAGTCTTCAGGAATGGCACCGCATGGGGGTATCATGGGCGAAACAGTATACTCTGTTATGTCAATGGTACTGCTCATGTCTATAGGCGACGGTTACCTCTTTCCAGCAGGTGGACCGTCAGCTTGTTTTTCATTCTAAGTTGTAGAAAAAAAAATTCTGAGTCGATTTTGAGATTTTGATTTAAAATCAATCATTTTTTTTTCCCAAGTTGAGTGTATTAATTTTAGCATAATTGTATCGGTCGGTTTTCTTTGCGCAGTGAAATATACGATTACTTGTTAATATTAATAATTTAAGTAGCTCAAGGGTAGGCACATTGCTATGTGGTAATATTGTCTTAAGTTTGTCCGATTTTTAGTCTAGTAATCAAACCGCTAGAAGAAAAGATCGGCGCAAAATATTTATCGCATTTAATGAAGAGTAAGTATATTAGTTACTTAGGCTAGGTATTCGCAATAAAATTACGAAGACAATTTAGCTCAGGCGAGAATTAAACAGAATTAACTGACAACTGACAGTAACATATACAATGAACAAATCGTAAAGAACTTGAATAAACTACGTTACGTACAACTGTCATGAACATGTCTGTCATGAACTTTTCACGGGTGGTAGGTTCTATATACGGCTTTGAATGTTGTGATATCCAAATGATCATTAGAGAAATATATAAATATGAAAATAACGTATGTATACTAATATCACAAAAGGAAAGATTTTATTTTTTGTATTTTTGTCTGTTTTTAATGGATAAACTTAAAATACTAAACCAATTTTAGTAATTCTTTCATTCTTAATATTTATATTGCTCGTTGATAATGCAGTTTAAGAGATGGAAGTATTTAATATTTTCGTCTTTATATACCTACTTACTTATAAATTGATCAAATTCCCAGCACAAAATAGGTCCCTTTCTTTCCCGTGAGTGACGTAAGAACCGACTAAGGAAGGACGAGGAATGGATAGTAGCGTCCCTCTTAAAACATCTTTAAAGCCTGACTGCAGTTACCAATCCGTTTGTCAAGCGTGGCAATTACTGGCAAAACTCCCCCATGGGGGAAGCTTATGTTCAGCAGTGAATAGTTAAAGGCTAATATGATGATGATGATGATGATACTTATAAATTGTAGTATTTAATAATATAGGACCTATGTCCTATATAATTTAAATAAAAAAATAGAGATCCCTAAAAAAATTACAACAATGTAACCCAAGATATCAAGAATTTGCTTATTAAAGCGAATATACTCGTAAAATACTAGTTCATCTTTTTATCCTTCTACTCGTTCATAGTCTGGATATATCGGATCGCTAGTTATTTAATAATAGCAAATATCCGATAAGAACAATAAACAGTCCGGCACTCAATTTGATTATGATATTATTTTTATACTGTTTTTTATTATATACCTTTGTGGTATAAAAAAATCTATTCTAATGATATACAAGTACCATCATTAGAGTGTACTTATTATTTAAAAACTTTGCGCACTCATTGTTACCACTTTTTATATTTTTCTATTATCCATATTTTAGTATTATGTGGCTCCATAAGTGTATAATGATTTAAGAAAAAAGTGAAAAGTTTATAACCAAAATTTTAGATAATGGACAGTCAATATTATCTTAAGTGTATACATAGCTTTGTATTTTATTTACCAAGCACTATTTCTGATACGTATCTACATTATGTACGTAGATATCTTTAATACCCGAAATTCATTAAACGTCCTTTTGTCTCGTTATCTTTTTGTATTGTTTGACCATACTTATGCAAATGTCGTATTCTATTTTAGGATTTATTGCTTTTGCTGATTACCGTAAATGTTATCAACGTTCAAATTCATTGGAAAGATTTTTTAACGTTATCTTTCACATAAGACTGGTCATGAATCTTTGCTATTTTACGGCTAAAAAATAACGATATGTACAACTTACTCATGTTTTATATTACTATCTGTAACCATAGAAACCAAATTAAATCTATCGCTCTACCTCTACTTCATGCCCAGCCAATGAACAGCTGCATATCTATAGTTGGGTTTCATTTGAAAAAGATATGGCAGTGAAATTACAGGGTATAGAAGTACATTATCTTACAACACGATGCTTATGATTATGAATGATCGCAGTATATTCTGTTATGTCCATGGTGCTGTTCATCACTACAGATGACTCTTAACCACTTATCATCAGTGGACAGTCCCTTCAACGTGATTGCTAATTCTAGTTGCATACAAAAACCTATTTAAATCCATTAAATTTTAAAGTTTAAATTATTAAATTTGACTTAAATTATAAACAGAAAAATAAGTATAGTAAATTAGTACCTGTGGTATAATTTTTACAGGCTTGGTAGTATAGTGCTTTTTTTTTAATGGATGATAATGGAATAGTAACCTCGCCTGCGCTAACGGTATACACTGGCGAGGCACCAATGAGCGATAATATGTGAAGATCTAAAAACAGATGTTTTAGCCCATCAATGGATACGCTTGGAATTCAGCACGATGGTTTCCAAGGGATCCACATGAAGGTCGACCTGGTTGGGTATATTGCTAGCAATGGGAACCTTAGTCTCCACCATTAACAATCCCTTCCCCCCCCCCCTTCCAGTAGTATAGTACTATAGTGCACGCTGGTTCACCATCAGGTGAACGTAATGATCACATTACGATACTCAATACTTGCTTAATACAAACCTTTGTGGTTATAACTGTTTTTTTGTTTGTTTTAAAACCTAGCTGCGGTTGCCAACCCACCTGCCAAGCGTTACAACTACTGGCAAAACTTCCCCTTATAGGGAAGGCTTATGTTCAGCAGTGGACATATAATAATAAAAATAATAATGGTATGGATATGGTATACACCATTGTAACTAAATAATATATTAACACAGAAAATTCGGCATACATGTCCAATGCCATGCGCATGCACGATGACACACGTTGTTTCGGATGCAGCTGGTACGGTCATACCACTGATTACAGTCGACTGTGCTGGGAGAGAATTGAACCTGCCACCAGCGAATCTCCCGCCAAGTACTACCACACTGCGACTAGAAAACAATAAGGTAATAACACTACAATATTATTTGTTGTCTGAATGTGTTGATTATAATCAAAATTTTTTGAGTTTGACTTTTGTCGACAAAAGTCAGTTTCTTCTATAGTAAAAATTTCATCGATTGGTATCTTCATAAATTTCATTCGGATTGCATGATTAGAGTAAGCTTTAATATATTTTTATATGAATATGGAAAAAAGCTATTTATTTTTTTCTCTCGATTTCGTTAAATTTGCACCAAATCAGAGAAATACCCATTACGTAGATGTATGTACATAGCGAATTCTACAACTTACCTCATTATTTTCTTTTATCGTGACATCTTCAATAACTAAAAAAGGTTAAATATTTTTCGCATACTTTCAAAATAACGAACTGCAGTGAAAGAGATTAAAAGAAAGCATTATTTTATTATGGAAGCGGGTATAATAACATTAGCAAGAAAGCTACTAAAGTGAATAATGTACGTAATTGATAGTTTTCTTTCATTGAATATCACTATGTATTTATGATCTATATATTTATCTATACATATTTGTTTACCTGCACACTTACTACATCAATATGTCTAAGAAGTTGTAAGTAAGCACTATATACATACACTATGCATACTTACATTTATATTGACACAAGTCAGTGATATTTTTAGACAGTGGAAAACATTAGTAAACATTTCTAAGAACGCTTCGAACTAATATTACGTTCATATTGTATATATCTATACGTAAATGAGTTGCCATTTCGTCAGTAATATATTGTCTAAATTGTCTTAATAGTCTTAGTTTGAAAACTAGGCGATTAGTTTGATTGTGTGAACGTTATTACTCGTAAGCATACGTAAACATGACTTTTTAAAATAACACATTGGTAATGAAACGGTAATGAAACGTGAAATTGGTATTACAGTTCTAAAAATCATTATTAATAAACTACCTGATTACTATTAATGAATATTATTATATAAATTGATCTGTTATATTTATTTATTTACAATTGCTCTTTTAACAGTGACCATACAAATGTATCTGAATTTCCCATTAATCTCTAACAAAGTCGTAAGCACATTTATTTTTAAATTACATATTTTATCATTTTTAATTTCTTTATATCAGCCTACAACATAATTTTTAATAAAGATTGCTTAATATTACTTAAGTATCTTAGCCTCAGATATTAATAATAAATACGAGTATTAAATATTTTTAATAATAAGGAAGAAGCACAATGGGCAGCCGTGTCCCTAACAGCAATCTCTGTCATTATACTGAATCAAAATCCTTTTTTGAGAAATAAGAGGCGGGATATTGAAAGAAAGCTAATTTTACTCAAAGGAAACCTTCTTTTATTTTGAAATAAGAGCAACTCAATTAATTCACAGATTTAATAAAAAAAATCGCTCTGAGGCGGGAATCGACTTAACTAAAAATAAAATATTCTTTCTAAATTCTTTTAAATAAGTAATTCTATATTCTTGTACACTAGAAATGGGTAATATGTATCCACAGCCACAATATGTATCTGCATATTGGCATAATAACAAATGAATTAAATCACGGTTATCCAATATATAATACTGAAATAAAAAACTAACTGGTGTGAACAATATCGAAATAGGTGATGACCTTTTTACCACCATCAATGTCCAGAGGATCCCAATATATAGATATCGGAACAATACCGATATTAATCTTGCCTTTAGGAAACAATAATGTTCGTATAAATAATTTTTATACAATAACTAATTGAAGAAGAACGTACTACTCCATGGTCACTTATTGTCAATAAGTGACCATGGAATATTAAGTTCTCCTTAGTAGTTGTAGTGCTAAATTAACAATAATAAAATTATCTACTTAGCAGAAACGTTTCCCATTGCATAACATGCTAACTATTATGAAAACTCAAAACGAATAACTTTAAAATCGATCATTTCTAACAATAAATTTATACTTAAATAAATGTTATCTATTTATATAACAAACTAGCACTTTGCAATGAAAAAGTTTATATCTCGCAGTGGAATGTTAACAAATTATTCCGATAATAATGATTAACTGCAACTAACCTCAATTGTAACAAGCATTTTGCGGGAAATCAACCTACACAAATAATAATACTAACGTTATATCTATATATTTTAACTTTATGAACTAATTATTATTTCCTGAGCATTCTATCAATAGGTTCTATTAATAATACGTTGTTGTATGTGAATATTTCGCGGTGTAGTCCTGGCATGGTAAGGTAACAAAAGAGTGGCCCACACTCTTGTTCCCCGTGGGTCTCGTAAGAAGTGACTAAGGGAACTTAATGCTCGAGACATGGGCAACAAATCTTTAAACATCACCAAAGCCTAACTGTAGTTGCCAACCCGCCTGTCAAGCATAGCAACTATTGCAAACCGCCTTAATAAGGGGTGGGGGAAAAGGGATTATTAGTAGTGGAGACTAAGAATCCCATTGCTAGCAATATACCCAACCAGGTCGACCTCCACGCGGTTCCCTCTGGAAACCATCGTGACTAATTAATCATTTGAATTCGTCATGGTGGGCTAACTGACCTACATTTTCATCCTCACCATTCATTCCTCACTGGTGCCCCGCCAGCGTATACCGTAAGCGCAGGCAGGACAGCCATTCCATTTTTTTCATCCATCAAAAAAAGCCCCTTGATAAAAGTATGTTCAGCAGTGGACAATTAACTGCTGATAGGATGATGATATAATTGATACATTCATGTTTGCATGGCTGTGTTTCGATTTGAAGGGTGGGATATGGCAGTGAATTTACAGGGTACAGAGACATAACACCTTAGCCCTCAAGAATGGCAACGCATGGGGGGTATCATGGGCGAAACAGTATACTCTGTTATGTCCATGGTACTGAGCATGTCTATAGGCGACGGTTATCACTTTCCATTAGGTGGGCCGTCAGCTTGTTTGACATTCTAAGTTGCATAAAAAAAACATTAATGCACACACATATATTCTACTTATGTATGTACATTATAATTGTATGTATTTTAAAATACAATAACTGTTGTTTCACAGATTAATACTATAAGAAGTATAATCCAGAACCGCGAATACCAGAAACTGGCTGATCTATACCTGGATAACAACAGTATTTCTGCAGTTAAAGAGCTTGAGGGGTCCGAATGGTTCACGACATTCCGCGTACTCAGCCTGCGTGGAAACATGTTAAAACAAGTACCTATTTTTCTTTTAAATTTTTGACCAATAGGTATACAAACTACTGGTTTTTTATGGATGATAATGGAATGGTAACGCCGCCTGCGCTATCGGTATACGCTGGCGTCGCACCAGTGAGACATGATAGGCGAGGATAAAAGCATGTCAGATCATCATCGTGACGAGTTCCACAAGAATTAATCACGATAGTTTCCACGAGGAACCATGTAGAGGTTGACCTGATAGGGTACATTCCTAGCTATGGGGCCGTTAGACCCCATTACTGATAGTCCCTTCCCCCCACAAAGTACTGTTAGTAATGCGGACTACGAGTCCTACAGCTAGTTGTAAACCCGATCAGGTCGACGTCCACGTGGCCTCCCTGGAATCTATCATGCTGGTGTTATATTCCAGGTGTAATTATGTATTTATCACAATGGGCTAACGGACCTGTATTTTCATTCTCACCTATAATCCCTTACTGTTGCCCCGCCAGCTCATACCGTTAACAGCTTATACTTATACAGGCGGGATGATGTGTTATTATCCCTGAGGATTAAAAGATTATTTAATGAATGATAATGAAATGGTAATTTTTTATACAACTTAGAATGGCAAACAAGCTGACGGCCCACCTTATTGAAAGTGGTAACCGTCGCCTATAGACATGAGCAGTACCATTGATATAACTCCTAATAAATACATATTTAAATTTTCTACAGATTCCAGTATATGCTTTTGACAAAGCTTTTCAAGCAAACAATAATATAATGCACGTATTTCTGGGCCGTAATCCTTGGAGATGCGATTGTCATTTCATACCTCGGTTCCAAAGTCTACTCCTCAAATACAAGAGAGTCATTCGCGATTTGGCCGACATAAGATGTTCGAAATCTAGCGACAAGACAACATCTTTAATGCAGGTAATTTATAATACTTATTAAGTCTTAATCAAACTAAATTAATCCTATAAATAAATTATTTATTTATAGAATCACCAACATAGGATAAAGCGATGTATTGCTATATGTATATGTATATTTAAATATAGAGAGAGAGAGAGAGAATTCCAAGATTGTTATCGATCGTTAATTTGCGATAGTAGGTCTCTAAATGTTTTAGTCTAAGTTTTTAGTATACATAATTAATACTTTGAATAAAATAACAATATTATGTCCAAAGGCCGGACTAGTGACCTAATATAACGAATACCCAAGACTAAGGGTCATTTTTTGCTTCAGACGTATAAAAAAATAATTTATTCTCGTAATGCAATCCTATGTTTACATTTGTATTTCTAATTTACATAAATGTGTTCCAAAAATAGGTGCTGATATACATTTAAAATATTTGAATTTAGAACACAAATTCACTACGGAGTAGGTAGATATTACGCAGTATGCAATCTTTTGCTCCGATTTGAAAAAACGGGGATTCAATCGTCAAACAATGTATATGGGTCGACCACTTGAGTATACTCTAAATCTTGTCGATATTTTTTATAATAGGTACTTAGAATGACAAACAAGCTGAAGGCCCACCGGATAAAAAATTATAACCGACCCATCTTAAGTCCCATATAGATATGAACAGCACCATGTACATTACAGAATATATTATTATGCCCATAATACTCCCCCCCCCCCATGCGTTGTCATTCCTGACGATTACAAAAGGAATTGTGAAAACTACTTCAAAAATTATATAATATTGCATTGAAAGTAATCATCTAACATAAACTTCCTTTTTTTGGAAGACACTTCAAATTACATGCATCTACTTCTTCTGTATACAGCTTAACCTACCTAGGAAAATACACCACTGAAGGATGACATTGAAAATTTTAAAATCTCTCGGATTTCCGTGTATGGTTTAAACCTTTGATCTTCATTACAAACCAAGTTATCACCCTCAGTTTTAGCAAACTAATTATAACTGTAACCCACGTTCATTACGAAAGTATATTTGTACTTTATTAATCTACGCAGTATATAGTCCGCCTACGTAATAAATTCATTTTAAGTATCAAATATGAAACATATTTACTTATTTCAATATCATATTTAATAAGTATTGTAATTAATTTAATTTTGGCTGTTTAAAAATTGTACACTGCTGTATCTGCTGACATTGATGCTCCTTTCCACTTTGGGTTTGCTGGAAGAAAATTCTATCAGAGTTAAGCTCACCTTTGTACTTTTGTTTACCTCTGTCATATTTTTATAACTAATGTGTACAATAAAGTATTAATTAAAATAAATAAATAAGTATTAACAATAATGTTTGTCTAATACAAGTAGTTGCAAATGGATTTTAGGATGTGACGTTCTAATTTACTTGTACTTGTAAGATACTTGGATACTTAAATAAAACAAGTTACTTGGAAGGTTGCAGATGACAATATGAATATTTATTTAAAAACCAGTACCTTTAATACACAAAATTCATGTTGTTTACTTGAGATGCATCTATGTCGCTATCTAATATATGAAAGCCTTTGAGACACCGCCGAGTAAACAAGATCATTAATGTATGTTTCGGCCACAGACTCTGTAATGAGGTCGCTATATCTAGGTATCGCTATAGTATATATACTCGAACCCAAAAATTCGTAAATATGTCTGTTTATTGTTTTTTAACGATTTTCAATAGAAGGAATTTCTCAATTCGCCGTTAAGCCAACTATGACGATACCTTTTTCGAAAATTATCATATCATATCAGCCGTTTACTGTCCACTGCTGAACATCTTTCCCATAAGAAGAGTTTTGCTAGTAGTTGCTATGCTTGGCAGGCGGGTTGGCAACCGCAGGTAGACTTTTAAGATATTTTAAAAGGGACGCTGCTGCCCATGACTCTACCATTAAGTCCCTTGAGTCGTTTGTTTTGTTTAGTTAAAAATTCGGTATATAAAGACATTATACACGGTAAATATTAAACAGTTTAATGAAATGTTTTGTTAAAAAAGTTTATGTATTTAAAATATATTTTTATACTCTTATTTCAGATTAGCACTATGCCCCTCGGACATGTTTGCAGCAATAACGACATAGAGATGCCAATAAGTCCAATAAATATTGTCAATTTGGTTTTATTCGGCCTTATATTGCTGATCATGGGAAGGTTTTTTTATGACTGGCATAATTTCAAAACAACAGGAAAATTGCCTTGGTTGTCCTCCATTCTACCATAATGTATTTATTTGTGATAGACAGAAATAAGTAAACAATTGATTATTTTTTTTATTAAATTAAAATAATAATATAATTGAATTTTATTTTTATACTACTTAGAATGGAAAACAAGCTGACGGCCCACCTGATGCAAAGTGGTAACCGTCACCTATAGACATGAGCAGTACCGTGGACATAACAGAGTATACTGTTTCGCCTATGATACCTCCCATGCGTTGCCATTTCTGAGGATTCAGGTGTTATTCCTCTGTATCCAGTAAATTCACGCCATATCCCACCCTTCAAACCGAAACACAGCCATGCAAACACAACTGCTTCACGGTGAAACACGAATGGAACAGAGGTACCCAAACAATCGACTTTTGTAAAAAGTCTTCCTATATATATATATATATATATATATATATATGCTCGTTCGTGGCATTATATATATGTTCATGGTGGTATTGTTCGTGGGCCAGCGGGATGTCCGGGACTTCACTTTGGTTTTCAATTTGTTGTTTTTGAATTCGTTTGTTCATTAAGAGTTTATTTTATACATGTAAAGTTGATTTGGTCAATACGCAGACTTTTAGTTCTCTTTAATTTTCACATTTATTAGATTAGAAGTGGAATAGAATTTTAAAAATGCATCTATCCCGCTTCTTCTTTTGCCTATAAATGAGAAAAAGAATCTAAAACAATATTATTTTGACATGATTACCAAAAAAAAGTAAGTAATTTTAAGTTAAAACTAAAATTGCACTATATATATATATATATATATATATATATATATATATATATATATATATATATATATATATATATAGGTATATTTTTATTTATGCAACTAAGGTGACAGTCAAATTAATCATATCAGCTTTTCTTCCTTCTTGTGTTTAGCAATTTTAGTTTTAACTTAAAATTACTTACTTTTTTTTGGTAATCATGTCAAAATAATATTGTTTTAGATTCTTTTTCTCATTTATAGGCAAAAGAAGAAGAAGCGGGATAGATGCATTTTTAAAATTCTATCCCACTTCTAATCTAATAAATGTGAAAATTAAAGAGAACTAAAAGTCTGCGTATTGACCAAATCAACTTTACATGTATAAAATAAACTGTTAATGAACAAACGAATTCAAAAACAACAAATTGAAAACCAAAGTGAAGTCCCGGACATCCCGCTGGCCCACGAACAATACCACCATGAACATATATATAATGCCACGAAATTTATTATTATATATATATATATATATATATATATATATATATATATATATATATATATATATATATATATATATATATAAGTGCATATGTAATAATAATGTTACACTTCAACAGAAATGTCCCACACATCAAGAATTCCGATTGTAACTTTCTGACGAGATGACTTCGCAAAACGTGATTCAATGACCAACCCGGCTCAAGTGTTATAAGTTGCAATACTCATGCCATACCTATCTACTTGTTTAATCAATAAAATATTCTGATATTTTTATTCTAGCTTTTACCCGCGACTTCGTCCACGTGACCTAAATATGTATACTGACCAGGACAAAATGTAGCCTTATATCCTCCATCTAATATAGTTAGAGATGGGCAATCCACCTGGGTGGGTTTAAAGTCTGGTGGGTAAAAACCGGGTGTTTTGGGTTTATTGGGTTTAAACCCCATAAACACCCAAATTTTTGGGTGTTTATGATTTTGTACTTCATCATCGTCATCTCAGCCGCAAAACGTCCACTATACTGGACATAGACAATATTATTATGCAGCCTACAGAATAAAAAACTTTTAATTTGATTTTGAGTTTATTAAGAAAGAGATGAAAGTAAAATGTAAAACTACAGTCAATCACTGTCAGATTCAGAGTTATTACAAGCAATGAATTGTATAGGTTCGATAGGCTCTATTTCGTCTAAACTGTTATGTTCATTTACTTGCTCAATGAAAGCTTCTAAGGTATTTTCTTCATTAAACTGAATGTCCTCGCATTCAGCTTTATGTTTAAGATTCCAGTTATAACAAATGAATGAAATTTTTTCAGTTCTTTCAGTTGTAAGTCGATTTCTTTTGTTATTATGTATGTAGCCTTGGATACTAAAGGAACGCTCAGTGGCTGCCGAAGTACAGGGAGCTGATAGAATACGAATCGCTACTTTGCTTAACTCAGTGGAACCACAAATACCTTTCCACCATATTAGGGGCTCAATGCTATCTAATGAGCTCCATACAAATCCTCTGGCCCAAAAGTTTTCTTTAGCTTTATAACACGCCAAATCTGCCATTACATTTGACAAACTTAAGTGTTGGCTTAAATTGTAGATAAACTCCATACCCTTAAGTTCTTCCTCTTGAGTAAGTTCGACTCCTAGAGTCCTGGGGTCTAGAATATATGCTGCAAAATGTATTGGCCTCATTGCCATATTGCATCTTGAAGATACTGATGTTAGAATCTGCTGTTTGCTTTCTTCGCTCAATGTCGAAATCTCATTTAATGCAAAACGTATCTTAGCTTGTACATCTCTAAATGTAATGTATGTGCGATGCAAACGATTCTGGTCGCTCTCTAAGTAAAATATGCTTTCAGTGACTGGTTCCAAAATACTTATACATTCCCCTGTCTTCGTCCAGAAATCATCACTTAGAATTAAATCTTTAATATCTCTTGAAATTACCACATCTTCTCTAACTGTTAATATTTGCAAAGCTATCTTATTTGCTTTCAAACTTTTTAACGAAGTAACATGACTTCCCCATCTTGTAGCACAAGGCAATTTTAGTGTTTGTGTAGAATCTTCACCCTGCCTTGATTTTATCAACAAGGAACTTAATCGTTGACTCCTTTTAACAGTTTTTATTATATTTATGGCTTGCATAATAAACACAGTTACTTCTTGTATCTTTACAATATCTTGGCACAACAAGTTAAGGATATGTGCACAGCAACCGAGAGGAACAACATGTGGATATTTGAGTTTTGTTAATTCGAATGCCTTTTGTATATTTCTAGCGTTATCGCCAATAAGTACAAGAAACTTATTTGCTCCATACACTTTCATTACTTTTTCAACTTCTTGGCTAAGGTATTCACTAGTGTGAGGATTACTTTCTGTATTCAAACTTTTAACGTATGCAGGTTGAGGTTTTGATATAAGAAAGTTTATTATTCCTTCATTTCTTAAATTAGACCAGCCATCGCACTGAAGGTGTAAGTAACTACAAGCATTTAGTTCCTCATTTAACTCAAAACGCATTTCTCTATATATTTTATCTAAGTATTTTGTCGCTAAAGCTTTACGTGAAGGTATTTTAAATTTTGGTTGCAATTTTTCGAAAAATTGTATCCATAAGGGATGTTGCACCATCGATAATGGCGTCCCTGTTACAAATATAGCTCTCGCTAATTCTGTTTTTATATGATCATCGGTGTCTTGAAACTCAGCATTTATTGTAGTGTTAGCAGACGACGAGGGGCTTATAAAAGAATCATTTGTCTCTATCTCTGACAGTCCAGACATTTTGGTTTTGGACGAGCTATCTTTTATAAGTTTCATAGAGTCTTTTAATGTTTCTGGAGATTTTGGACAAGTGATAAGATGTTGAAGCATTTTGGCAGCATTACTGAATTTGTAGACCTTATTACAAAGCTTGCAAGAAACAGACTTGTTTGGTAAAGTACGGTAGTGCTCCCATATGCGTAAATCTTTAGGTCTCCCCATTGAACCTAAAAAAATGAACGATGATTAGTTGGTCTGACGAAAATTCAACAATAGAGTGCCTATTTTTTTACAATGATTATTTCTTGTTATTTACAATAAATTTATTAAAAAAATAATAAAATAAATACAAAAACCTTTGTAAAATTACATCTCCTCGGAGGATTAAACGCAGACGCTAGTTTATTATCGTATTGTTCTGTATTTTTCTCAGCAACTTCTTTAATTCGATTAGGTACTTACGCATATTATGTTAAAAATAAATATCTAGTACACATCTTAGGCTATCCACCATTATTATCCAATGACGACTCTCAGCTAACTATGCACTATCATCCAAAATAAACGTGTATGGAAAATTTTATCCCAGTCGGTTGAGGATTGAGGATAATTGCATCAACATACGAACATACCTACATACTTTTATTTACATAACGCAAGCTAAATAAAAGCTTGTAATAATACATCTAATTTTAAGTTAAAATTGTTAAGTGATCATGATATAATTGTATCATTCAAAAATCCACTTACCTTTAATTATTTCTTGTTAAGTATAAATATTATTTCAAATCTGCTCCCTTAATATGCACTTTTTTACTGCTTTTCCTACCTAACACGTTACCAGGAAGTCACGTTACCAGAGTCAGAGTAATAGTGAACACGTTTGACAGTGATTGTCGTCGCCTCATATTCAGCGTCGACGAATAGGGGAATACCCAGTCATAATGTATTGCATGCGTGGCGGTCTTACTTCAAATCCATAAACAAAGAGATAATTACAGAACTCGATACTAGATGGCGCTGTTTTTGTTTGAAGAAAGTTTGCGGGCTAAAATACATAGAATTTCATCAATGACTTTCACAAAGAACAACATTTCTGTTTTTTCTAAGTCCGTATCTCTTCCGTATATTTCATAAGATATAAGCTTGGGCTACATTGTTATGCAACGTGATTTTGTCGCTGTCTTGCTAGCAGGGTTGACAGATATACGATTTAAATCGTACTCATACTATTATTTGTCTATTTTTTAATGTACGATCGTAAAGATTATGATCGTAATTCGCACAAAAACATACGACTTTTTGGTTACCTGGCAACATTTTTATTATGAAACGAACATGCTCACATCATCAGTCACATGCAACAATTTATTGTATTTAAAATATATTTCCCCTTCACATCTGGCAGTCCTGCTTGCTAGAATATAGGTAAGTCAGCCACAGTTACTGACGATCGATATTTAAAGGGTATTGTTTTTGTGCTAAATATTTCATAAAAACGTTATTTAATACTTTGTGGATTATTAATTTAGTTGATAATCACTGGAAGTAAAATGGATGCTAATTTGAGAGATCAAGATCTTCGTATAAAACAGTTAATAAAAGAAAATCTACGTAAGTACTCTTTTTATACCTAGGTAGGTAAGGTATAATAAACACAAAAGGTACTTAGATCGCGTGTGTTCGAAGCATTTATTCTAATAAATTTAATTTAAAATTGTAGAAAGAAAAAAATGTCTGCCAAGCCGTAGCCGAAGCCGATCTCCAAATATATTTGGCGATAGTGAGACCCAGTGTCCAGATGATTTACCCAGCGTCGTCGCAACAAAGAAAAAAAACGAGGATAAAGTAAAAGAAAATTTACTGAAAGAAGAAACAAACTGTTCTAAATGCTTAATTTATGGAGAAGAGGATAAAAGAAATGAGTATTTCGGACTGTTAGTGGCTCAAGAATTTAAATATATACGGCCATGTGTGCGAACGAGGTGTTATGAAGAAATTTTAAAGTATCTACGGGAAGCAAAAGGCCAACATGTTGATCAACTGCAACATGAAAACACTGAAAATTAATTACTTTCATTTTATTATATATATATTTTTAAAATTTCCTGAAATATTATTAGTTAACGTTTTATTTAATATTGTAGAATTGATCAATACAATTTATAAAAATAATTTATTGGTATTACTTACATATTTTCAAAAAAATACGTAAAAACCTATTTTTTGGGTGATTATGGGAGTTTATGGGTGTTTATTGGGTTTTTACCAAAGCACCGGGTTTAAACCCGGTGCTTTGCCCATCTGTAAATATAGTACGTGTTAGAGGGAAAGGGATTGTTAGTAATGGAGAGAATCCTATTGCTAGCAATATACCCAACCAGGTCGACCTCCTCGCGGTTCTCCCTGCAAACTATCATGGTTAATTCCTGATGAATTCATCATGATGGGCTAACTGGCCTGTTTTCATTCTCATCTATCACCCTTCACTGGTGCTCCGCCAGCGTATCCCGTTAGCGCAGGCTGGGTTACCATACCATTTTCACCCATCAAAAAAAATATATATAGTACGTGTATACCAAATTTCATAATGATAGTTAAGCTATTTAATTCTATAATAAACAAACTCAATTTAATATTAATAACATTAGTAAGGATTAGTAAAGATTTTTCTTGCAACGACTGTAAAAGCACGAATTATTCAGATTTATTCTGACAATAACACGAACCTGAGAGTAGATTTTTAAAGAATGATAATTGAATGGTAACCCCGCCTGCGTTAACGATATACGCTAGCGGAACACCAGTGCGGGATGATAGGTGAAAATGAAAAAGCAGTTCAGTTAGTCCATCGTGATGAATATATCTGGAATTCAGCATGATAGTTTGCAAGGAGGACCATGTGGAAGTCAACTTGAGAGGGTATATTGCAAGCAATGGAACCGGTATATAGACTATATTACCAACAATCCTCTCCAACCTGAGAATATAAGATCAAACGATATTGATCTATACAATAGGTCCCTTTTTTGTGTGATGAGACTTACACTATGATTTTTGCAAAGATAAAGACGTGTATTTGCTTCAGTTATTTTATTGAAACTAAGTTCACAAGTTGTTGTGCGTTGTCTAACATCTATGATCAGGTAACACAGTATAAAGTTAGCCGTACAACAAGAGAAATAAAATTTGAATATGATTTAAACACAAACATACCGCCCACCAAAAGGGCGCAAGACCTTTTTAATACAAATATACAGTAATAACAAACATTTGAATCTAAATATATTAAAGTTTAAATTATTTTGACATAATTATAATGCAAATGTAAGATATGTACTTATAGGAATACACGTTCAACAAAAAAAAACTATAGAATACATTTGTACTAAAAAATAGAATTATACAATTGAATCATCCAATATTAACATCACTTATGTAATTAATCTTTAGTTTCAGGTAAGGTTCTTCTCTAAATCTTCAGTTACAGGTAAAAGACACAACTTATTTATAGATCGTTTCACAACGTTATTTCCACTCTTTACGCTATAAACTCTGGTGATACCATCTGCTCCTGGATGTTTATCAACGAGGCGTCCAAGTAACCATTTTCCAGGAAATAGATTTTCCGTTTTAATAAGTACTATCTAACCCCTTTCGAACTCATCTACTCTTTTTAACCACTTTGGGCGCTGCTGTAGTCTAGATAAATACTCCTGTTGCCAACTATGCTAGAAATCATTCAATAACTTTTGAGTGAAACGCCATCGTGATAAGTTACTCATAGACACGTCTATCAGACTCGGCGAAGGTGACTGGTGTTTCGCCAATTAAAAAATGCCCTGGTGTTAACACCTCTAGGCTGTCTATATCAGTGTCATCGATTGGGCACAAAGGGCGTGAATTAAGGCAAGCTTCTATTTGGCATAAAAAGGTTGTCATTTCATCAAATGTTCGATGAGAGGTCAATATACGCTTCATATGGTGTTTCAAGGATTTGATCCTTACCTCCCAAACCCCGCCAAAATTGGGGCTGTAAGCTGGAATAAAATGCCACTGGGTACCCTCTGCTATTAAAGTTTCTGCAATAGAAATTTTAAACTCAAGTGTGTCCAACTCTCTACGAACTCTTTATTCGCGCCAACAAAGTTGCGACCTTGATCACTCCACATATCACTGCTTTTTCCTCTTCGTGAAACAAATCGTCGAAATACACCAATAAAAGCTTCAGATGTTAGATCGCCTACAAGTTCTAAATGTATGGCTTTAGTAGCCATACATATGAATAATGCGATGTAACCTTTATTGGTCTTGGCTCCTCGACCCTTAGACATGAGAATATCATACGGACCTGCGAAGTCAACTCCGCTGTGTAAGAAATCTCTCGTATTTAATTCTGGTAATAACATACCTCTTGAAGCCACATCAGCTGGATTATCTGAAGATTGTACATGGAACCATTTTTACCGATATTGTCTAAAACGGTAACCACTCTATTTCTAACGAAAGTATGCCATCGTGAAGGATCTCCTTGCAACCATGACAATACTATAGTGGAATCTGTCCATGCATATGTTTGACTAACAGGTATACGTGTTGCTTCACTAATTTGTTTCAACAATTTAGACAATAGAACTGCGCCACATAATTCGAGTCGGGGAAGTGATATGGGCTTAACTGGTGCGACTCGAGCCTTGGCAGCAATTATACTGATCTTAAAATCTCCGTTTTCGCTTGGAACCTTCATCAGGTAAGCTACTGCTCCATATGCCTTTGTAGAAGCATCACAGTACCCATGTATTGTGACATTATTCATATTTGCCGTTGTGGTGTGTACCCAGCGATTTATTTTAATATTTTTAAGATGTACCAAGCTTTGTTTTATATTTAACCAATCCTTTTTTGTTTCAGGTTTAACTTCATCATCCCAACCAACTCCTTCCATCCATAAATTCTGAATCATTATTTTTTCAGGTAATATCGCCGGAGCCAGCCATCCGAGGGGATCGAACAGCCGTTGGATGTCAGCTAATATATTTCTTTTTGTTATTTTTACAGGTGGTGATGGAGCTGGCGATGGAAGACTAAGGTAATACTGCAGTGTGTCTTCGCCCATATCCCAAGTAAGTCCTAGTGTTCTTACTGTTCCCTGTACCTTGATATCTACCTTGATATTGGAACTTCTCTCTTACGATTGAAATTGTTGCAGAAATTCGGCATTATTGGAAGCCCATTTCTGTAAGGTAAAACCTCCCTTCTTTAGAATTGCAGCGACGTTCTTTGCTACATCGACGGCTTCGTATACAGTATCCTGTCCTGACATCAGGTCTTGCATATAGAAGTCTTGTTTTATTGTTTCAGCAGCGATAGAATGCTGCGCACCTTCGTCCTCAGCTAATTGATGGAGCGTTTTAACAGCTAAATAAGGTGCACAGGGTGCACAGGTACCAAACGTCACCCGAAGCAAACGATAATCTTGGATTGGGTTCGCAGAATTGTTACGCCATAAAATACGTTGGTAATCAGCGTCCATTTTTGAAACCATTATCTGGCGATACATTTTCTCAATATCCGCCACATAGCATACTTGTTTCAATCGCCATCTCATTACTAGATATCGAATATCTTCTTGCAACTGTGGTCCCACTAGCAATTCGTCATTGAGAGAAATATTGTTAGTACCTTTACAGGAAGCATCATAGACTACTCTAGTCTTCATTGTCGTTAAACTCGCTTCTTTCATTTGGTTGGAGCTTTGTGAATTCTTTGCAGTGGCATAATGTGTGAGTTCCGTTACACATTTTGCATTGTTTCACCGGCGCTGAAGAAATATAAAAAGATTTTGTTTTTTCTCTTGTCGTTATTGTAGAACTTGTAGACGGTGTAATTAGGT